ACTGATTGTCCTCACTCCACCAGGTTTTTGTGATGCCTATTATATCAATATCTTCCTTTCACATTCTCCTTTAATCATCAGACTATACTGAAGGAATATCACTGTCAGAAAATTAACTTGGTAAAAAATATCCACCTTTTTTCTCAATAAATCTGTGGCTTTATTTGGAATCATCTACTTTTTTTTTTTTTTTTTTTTACAGACAAAAATAAGTTTTTACTCTTTCCTACTTCTCTTCATACTGCAGACACAGACGGCAAAAAGCATGTGTGGTATTCTATTTTGGCTCATGCACTATCAAATAAGCTCCTATTGTAGAATTGTTTGTTACTGGTGATGACGCATAAACCAGAAAGCAGACAATTGGACAGTCAAATGCCAGGACGAATTTAAAGGAATAGCAACTAAAAAATCCAAACTCTTTATTGGTAAATTGAGTACATTTGACACGCAGACACTGGGAATAAATTTTGATCCCATCAACATTATTTTACAGTCACATTTTGGGATATAACCACTCTTCAGGTTATGATTAACAAGAAAAGCAGGAATTGAATATATTACAGGAATGCAACATTGCATCCTTACGCGAAGGGAGCAGTTTTATTTTGTGTTCTTTATTTCTCTACCTTAATGTTGCATTAATGCTAAATCTCCACATTAAGCATCCTTGTTATTTAAAGGGAAAGAAAGAAATTGTTAGGAAAAGAGTTATTAGCCAACCTGAATCATCCATAATAGAAATACCCAAAACTGGTCATCCTTAACAGTGCTTGTAAGTCACATAACATGCGACTTGGCCCCTGGTACTACAAATACTTATATATGTGGATAACTTTATGCATGGCAAGTAGTCCTGTTGACTTCAATGGAACTACTCACTGCACATCAAATTAGTCAAGTATGTAACTCTTTGCAGAATTGAGGCCTTAGATTACATATTCTTCATGGCAGTGATTGTCTTTGTTCTATTTTTACAATGGGGCTAGGACCTCTAGGTGCTACCACAATAAAAATAATAAATAATAAAATTGAGCTAATCATCCTCCAGAGCTTAAGCAAATTCTATCATCTTCACTAAGAGAATAATTATCTTCATTTAACTGAAGACATGCGGTGTGCAAAGCTCAGTTTTGCCAGCTTCAGTCACACAGTAGGATGTCTTCAAAAGGGATATTCTAAACTGTGTTGTCCTTAACAAATGTAGTTCTTAAAAATATCTAAGAACACAAACAGAAAGCTTTTAATACATCTTCATGAAATTGCCAACTTTAAATATTTTAATTTTCAGACTATAGACCTGAGTTTCCTCCTAGTTGTTTTGTTAATATCAGAGAGGTACAAAAACAAGCCAACCAATTTAAAGCTTTTATCTTCAAGTCAAATGTTCTGATCAGACATATAAGGAAAATTTTTTTTCCCTTGCAATCATATAACTTAAAAATGGTTGACACAGTTTGCTCACTCTCTAAAACAATTAATCCTTGGGTTGAAATTAAATATGGGATATTTCAATCCAAAAAGAATTTGAGAAAATCATGCAAAACTAAAAAAAAAAGGTGTATGTCTGTATTTTAAATGGAAGTGAGCATTCAACCTTAGCAAAATGGAGAGCCTGCTATTCTGCTATCATGAGCAAGCTGACTGACTCTCACCGATTTCAGTGGGACTAGGATTTTCCCCTATTTACTATTCAGCAATGGAAAAAAGCTTTCACATCTGTATTCAAAAATACATCAACGATTATGTGAGCATAGCTTGTAGCAACTGGTGGAAAATCCCAGTATACCAGGCCTAGAAATGCCTGATCTCAGAGATCAGAGAGAAATGAATAGACAAACAGTGCATTTGCCTTTAGGGGTTGAAATCTAGACTGAGGTTGTAAGTTAGCCACAGTGGTCCCCTCCTCCACATATTTATGCCATTGCTGTCTTGATGCGTGTTCTGTTCCACTCTTAGCATCATCTGTGAGATTTTCCTTCCATATAGAAGCATGGGAAGTTACACTGTTGTGTTTCAGAGCAGTTCTGAGTCATGGCCAAAGCCTGAGGTATGTGACTGACAAAGAAAGCAAGAGATAGGGGCCACTGAAATGAGGATTAAGCTCCTTCAGTGTCAAACTGCTGAGGACAACAAGACTTTTGCCTTTAGAACCTGTTGTAATATAATATCTGTGAAACTAGACCTAAATGCGATCATATAAAATGAATCCTATTTGGAAAAGATGGAGTATTGCATGGGGGAAAAAAATGGTATCTGAAGACAGTCAGACTCATGAATTTCAAGGTTTTCACTTTCTCACCACAAATATTATTTTTCACAGCTAAATATCTTAGGTTTAGTTTAAAAGTGGAACAAAAATCATAAGTGACACTCAAGGGCTGCATTCTGCAAACCCTTACTGATGTGAAGGCTTACCTACTAAGGCTCTTGCTTGTATGAGTACTACTATTGAGAGCAACAAAATCATATGAATCAGACCAACTCCTGGGCATTATCCTGGACTTGGACCTCTCTCTACGTTCTCACATCCAGGCTATCCCTAAATCTTTAGACACCTGCGCAGATACAAAAAGTGTATCAGCATTGGAGCTGCGATCCACAAAAATAGTCTGTGGATATCTGCATATTTGCAGGGCTCTAAACAGCTCCACAGGTCACTGCACAGTAGTGACACAGGGCTGTGTCAAGCACCCAATTCCCAGCCCCACTTCCCCCCAGAGACCTCCTGCCCTGCCACCTGCTCTGACCCTGCCGTACCTCCTTCCCCGCTTCAGGCAGGGAGGCTATAATTCTGGGTCCTTCTATGCAATGCCGCCCTCCCTGTGGGGAGCTTGGACACCCCAACCCAGTTGCAGGGTCTCTAATGCATGCAGTTTACCGCCTGCTTATTTAAAGAGCAACTCCACCTTATGGTGCTTGGCTCAATCCCTTCTAGGAGTTGTAGTTTACCTCCTCCCTCCAAGTAATCAGGGGACTACAACTCCCAGAATGCCCAGCACACTGCTGTGTGATTCAGAGAGCTGAACTGGAGGCTGGGCGCCAGCAATTCTGTTCAGGTCAGCGTATGCTGTATAGCCCTGTGTGGATACAGAATTTGTATCAGCATCCACACTGCGATCCGCAAAAATGGTCTGTGGATACCTGTGGATTTGGGCTCTATAAATCTTGCTAATTCTTCCCGCATAACTTTTCTAAGATATGGTCTTTCCTATCCACCCACCAAAATTCTCATCAAGGTTCTTCTCATTGTCTTGCATAGCGATTACTGTATCACCCTTCTCTCTGGGCTTGACAAACACAATCTTGCCCTGCTCAGATCCATTCAGAATGCTGCTGTAAAGATCATATTCCTAGCCAGTCGCTTTGATCAGGTCACCCCTCTCTTTGTATCCCCCCATTGGCTCCCCCTTCTCTATCACAACAAACATAAGCTACTTGTCTTCATTTTCAAGGCCTTTCATGGCCTATCACCACCATACCTATTCTGTCTGATTCACTATTTAGATGTCAAATCCTGCCTCTGACCAGCCTATGAAGACAACTTCCATCACCCACTTGTTAAAATTTCAATCAAGCACCTTCGTGTTTTCTTTCATGCTGCCCTTCGTGCTTGGAAGGAGCTCCCCACAAACATCAACAAAACTACCTCATTAATCCTCCTCAAGGCTCTTCTTTGCCATGATGCCTCCAACTACCTGAAAATGATTAAGCTGCTGGTATACTGAGACCCACAGCCTGTCATGCTGGCCAATGCTGTCTCTTTGTTTCCTTATACTCCCCCAGATACCTGTATTCAGCTGTTGTTCTTGTCCCATACTTAGATCGTAAGCTCTTTGGGGTAGGGACTGTCTTTTTGTTCTGTATTTGTACAGCAACTAGCATAATGGGGTGCTAGTGCATAAACAGGGCTCCTACGGTAATATAAATAATCATAATGTTAGTGTTTGCAGTATCAAAACCACATGCTAGTTAAAGAGACAGTACTGAAACAAACAAGCAAGCCATAACATTGTGTCAGATCTTAGGTCTGTCTGAAGTGTATAGAATGCATGTAGGGACGGTGTGGTGCTGTGGTGGCACCTTTCCGCTCCTGTGATCCTGGGGCCACTGTGAACAGGCCCAATTGCCCAGCATAAGAGCTAGAGCAGGCTGAGGGCTGCTTTCACTGATGCCAGTTGTTCTAAGGAGCTAAAACCACAACCAGAGATTGGCACATGCTTTCTTCCAGCCACACCCGCTATGCCAGCAGAATGGAGGTGGCTAAGCCTTTCGGGAGCTTCATGCCACTGGATAATCCATTTTACATTGATGTGATTGTACCAGGGCTGACTATATGGTCTCTCCAACCACATTCCATTAGCTGTTTGGTACAGCAGCTGCATCACACCACTAGAACAAGTTACCTAAGGAGGTTGTGAAATCTCCAAAATTGGAGGTTTTTAAGAACAGGTTAGACAAACACTTGTCAGGGACAGTCTAGAAAATACTTAGCCCTGCCTCACTGCAGGGGACTGGACTAGTTGAACTATCGAGGTCCCTTACAATCCTACATTTCTATGATTCTATGACACTATACCATAGGATCCAGCCCAATGTTTATTGCTGAACCAAGTTTAAAAAAAAAAGAAGCAAGCTTTAGCTTTTGATAATTACACTCTTCAGGTTACAAAACAGAAACTGAACTTTAACAGAAACTGATTCAGATTTAATAATTTAAAGGTTAAAAGGGGCTTCTTAAAAACAAAAAAGATCAGGTATTGGGTAGGATGTTTCACTCCTTACTTACTCTGTCTGCATTTACACTGACAGAAAACTGTCAATCAGAATTTAAAAACAAGATGGAGGAAAAGAACAACCTTAATATACAACAAAAAGAAACTCTTCTTAAATTAATTGTTATTTACAAAGTAGATGCTTACTGAATATTATGTGTAATGTGTCTGGAGAGAATAATTTCACAGTACAAAAGAAAACAATCACAACTGAGAAAATGATCGTACATTGCTACGATCTCTCAATTTAATGATGAAATCTGAATCAGCGTGTGATTGTACATTTTGTTTTTCAGCCTTATCCATGCTGTTCCCATTGAAGACAATCACAAAACTCCCACTGACTTCACTGTTGAAAGATCAAGCTCATGTCCCACGGTATACACACATTTCTTCACTTTCAAGAGCGGATGCTGTAAAAACAAATTTTTCATCTCTAAATGAAAAACTACTGAGAAAAACTTTAACAAATTAGCCCCCTGGGGCATTTTTATTTATTTCTTTGGGGTTTATTTTGTTGTTTCTGCTACTGAAGAAAAAGAGAAAAATCTCTTATTGATATTTTCCATTGGAATAAAGGATCTGAAAATTCAGTTAATTCTGCTACTTAACTTTAAACTCATTCTTTTCAGACTTTCACAGATGAATAAAGACCTATAAGCATGTAATTGATTTGTCACAGCTTTTACACCTCAAAATAAGTATTTTACTAATCTATCCCAACCACTGCATCCCTCTCGGGTTGGCAGGATGAGTGACCATCCTACGGTTTTGAGATTTTGTGAAAGGACTTATGAAGAGAGGTTACCTAAAGCAAATCTTGCCAAGTTTCAGAACCTTGTGCAAGCAGTCCTGTCTGATTCCAGGATCCTTCTGTAAAGACTGAATCCCCTAGCTGTGCGCTCCAGTTTAGAAAGCGGTGTTTCAGCTCCACCTTTAGGTTTAGCAAGCTGTGTGTGGCTGGGTGTTGGGAGTTAAGGGAGGCCAGGAAACCTCTCAAAGAATTGGGCGTTGCCACTCACCAATGGTGATCAGTGGCGAAAGCAGGGAGCCGCACAGCAGATGGCCAGCTCTGCTCCCCCACACAACTGAGCCGTGTCCATATGCAGCCCACTTGCTGTGCCGAGGTGAAGCTGATGAGCAGGGCACTCTCCCCTCTCTGTGCCGGAGGGAATGCCAAGTCTCCATGCCCCCCAAGCTCAGACAAGGGTCCTAGGGGGAAAACCAGAGTTGACAAGAGCAGCCCACAGTGCTAAAGGGGCGGACTCCTACTCTGTGCCGGGGCCTCGGCCCCACATGCTCAGCCCGCTGGGGTGGATCCATACGGCCTGTGCGGGAGAACTGTATAAGCTGCCGCCCTCGGGCCCCAGCCCTTCAGGTCTGCGGGGCCTGGCCTGGTCAGGCACGGTGCTCAGGCGGGGGTCGCTGCTTTCCCCAGGGCTCCCTGAGGTCCCACATCACCTGGCGGGGACTCGGGCTGCCTGGAGGCCAGGAGCCCGCGGCTCTAGGCGCCTCTCTCCCCGCGCCAGCAGCGCCCCAGTGGCCGCTGTCCGCGCCAGGAGCCTCAATAAAGTTTTTTCAGTCAGGGAAACCGGAAGTGCGGGGCGGCGGGGGCGGGAGCAGGCCCTGCCCTTCCGGGAGGCGGCAGCCTGCGAGTGGGGGGCCGCCGCCGGCGGCGGGGCTGAGCCGGGTATGAGCGACGTGGTGGAGCGGACGCTGAGCGCGCTGCCCGGCCTGCTGGGGCAGCACGACCCGGGGGCCGGGCCCGGCGGGGGCCCGGGTCGGTTCTCGGCCACCTCGCGGCTGGGCGGCTTGATCCGGAGCATCACTGCGCTCTCCTCCAAACATGTACGGGCTGGTGGGGGAGCGGGGTGGCTCAGCGGGGCTGGGCCCTGGCCGGCCGGACCTTCTCCCCTGTGAATTGTAGCCAGTGATGAGCTGCCAAAATCTTAACAGCAGGTTCCCTCCTTAGCCCACGAGGGGGTCGTTGTCCACCCCCACCCACTGGCACTCCTGCCCCATCCAACCCCCCCCCGTGTTCCTTGACCCCCCCCCAGGACCTCTATGCCATCCACCCCTGTCCCCTGACTGCCCCCAGAACCGGGCAGGAGGGTCTCATGGGCCATTGTAGTGGGTGCCCACCCCTAAGAGCCAGAGGCACCTGCTGGGGGGCGAGGTGGGGAGTCCCAGAGGTGCTTATCTGGGGCTGCTCCCAGGAAGCATCTGGCAGGTCCTTCTGGCTCCTAGGGGTGGGGGAGCGTAGCTTGGGGGGAGCAGGGGGAGTGGCCGTTCCCCCACTGGTCACATCAAAAGTTTCGCTTTAGGCACGGACTCTCTGGGTGCTCCAGGGCTGGAGCACCCACGGGGAAAATTTGGTGAGTGGAGAGCTCCCACCGGCAGCTCCCTGCCCCGCGCCCGGACCCGCTCTGCTTCTCTTCCCCCCCCCCAGCTTCCTGCAAATCAGCTTTTTGGTGGGAAGCCTGGGAGGGCTGAGAAGCAGGCGGCAGCTTTTTGCTTAGGTCAAGGGTGGCAGAGGTGAGCTGGGGTGGGGAGTGGTTCCCCTGCGGGCCTCCCCCAGGTTACCTGCTGCAGCACGGGCGGCCCTCCTCGCGCCTCCCTGCCCCCCTGTACCTCCGCCTCCCTGGGCCTGAGTGCAAAGCCGCTGCCTGCTTCTCAGCCTGCCCCGGCTTCCTTCGCGAACAGCTGATTCACTGGAAGCCTGGGGGGGACGGAGAAGCAGAGCGGGGTGGCACGTTCAGGGGAGGAGGCGGAGACAGAGCAGAGGTGAGTTGGGGCCGGGGGTGGGGCGGGGAGCTGCCGGTGGGTGCACTGCACCCACCAAATTTTCCCCTTGGGTGCTCTAGGGCTGGAGCACCCATGGAGTTGGCGCCTAAGGCGCCACTTTTGGCCAGTTAAATTTAGAAGCCCTTTTAGAACTGGTTGCCCTCCTGGAACAACCGGTTCTAAAAGGGCTTCTAAATTTAACAACCGGTTCTAGCGAACCGGTGCGAACCGGCTCCATCTCACCACTGATTGTAGTCATGACCTTGCACCCCCCACCCCAGGCTGAAAGCGAGCGGGGAGGCTGGGTCCGCGGTCTCCCTTCTCACCCGTGTCCCTGGCTTCCCGTGCCACGTGTGTCTCATGTTCTGGACAGGCGCGAAGCCACGGGGATCCTTGTCGCCAGGTATTAGAGCAGACGGGTTTTCGGCCAAGCAGCTCCGCCCGCCCCTGCCGTGGAGTAGAAAAGCCTGAATGTGGAAGGTCAGCGGGTGTTGGCAGCTGCCTCTGGGGTGAAACACACCTGTTCAGCCCTGCCCAGTAACATGCTTTTCTTTCTACCCACCCTGCCTATTGATATGGCCCCAGTTACAATAGAATCTGGGTGCCTCATAGGCTTTAATTAGGGTGCCAACCCTCCAGGATTGTCCTGGAATCTCCAGGAATTAAAGATTTTGGAATTAAAGATTGTCATGTGATGAAATGTCCAGGAATACGTCCAACCAAAATTAGTGACCCTACCTTTAATATATTTATACTTAGTATGCTTACTTCACCTCTGGTAGAAAAGTGCTGTAAATCCCTATTTTACAGACTGGGAGCTGAGGCACCGAGAGGTTAAATGGTTTGTCCATAGTCACACAGGAAGGCAGTGACAGCAGGATCTCAAAGCCAGAGTTTAGAGCCCTACCCATTGGACCATCTTTCCAGTTTAGTACAGGGAGTAAATATGAATGCAATACACAGTGATCAGTTTTTGTTAGAGTAGGTGTAAATAAGATGATGTAACTTGGCCAGGATACAGAGATAAATCCCTTTCTATTTCTAAGAGTGCGTGCTGTACAAGTGGGCAGGACCTTAGTGTTATCTGTCGTCCAAAATAATGCATCGTATCATTCCCTGACACCATGCTGTGTATTATTTCAAATACTGATTTAGAAGAAAGGGTGTTACTGGCTGAATTACCAGTGTAATTGTCTAGGCACTAGAGGTCTCATCAAAGGGCATGTCTACACTTACCTCCAGAGCGATTGATCCAGCAGCGGTCAATTTATCGCATTAGTGAAGATGTGATAAGTTGACCGCCGAGTGCTCTCCCGTCTACTCCGGTACTCCACCAGGGCAAGGGATGCAGGCGGAGTCGACGGGAGAGCGTCAGCAGTCGACTTACTGCAGTGAAGACATCGCGCTAAATAGATCTAAGTACGTCAACTTCAGCTATGCTATTCATGGAGCTGAAATTGCGTAACTTAGATTGATCCCACCCCGCTAGTGTAGACCAGGCCTAAGTCCTAACTAGGGCCAAGCTTGCTGAGCTTGCAAAATGGCTGCAGAATGCAGTTTTTGTTTTGAATGGCATGTATTAAAACTGTGCACTTTAAAATATTTTCCAAGTCCAAGAATATAAATGAAGTACTGTTAGACCCTTTTAAATCAATAAACTTATGTATACTGTAATACAGGCCAATGGAAGAGTGAGCAGATGAAAGTGTAGATATGGAAAGTGTACCATTTTTTGTACTTTAAAAAAAACAGTATATGGAAATCTAGTGAAACCCTTTGAAGCTGTAAATCTAGTGAAATTGGAAGTGTAATAGCTTTGTAATATTATTTATACAAAAAACAAATGAACGTAAGATTATATAAATTATTTTTGATACAATTCTAATAGTTCATGCTTTCCTTGCCATCATTTGTTTCTTTTTTTTAACCCCTCCAAAATTATGCAAGATCTTAAAAATGTTTAAATTATTCTTTTATAGGAGGAAGAAAAATTAATACAACAGGAACAAACTAATTTGAAAGCAACAGTTTCTGCTCCCACTACAACAGTTGTAAGTTTTAGTTACTACGCTATTCGCATAGCTGAAGTTGAAGTATCTTAGTACCTGGCTGTCCTCACGGCGGTGAGTTGACCGCAGTGGTTCCCCTGTCGACTCCGCTTACTCCTCCTGCCGAGGTGGAGTACAGGCATCGATTCAGGGATCGATTTGTCGCATCTAGACGAAACGCGATAAATCTATCCCCGATTGATCGATCACTACCCGCCGATCCAGCGGGTAGTGAAGACGTACCCTTAGAGTTCTCCTGCCCATCTGTTTGTGCTGTCTCAGAACACTGGTTCTACCATCTGTCAAGTTACCACCCACTGGTTGCTTGAGATTAGTCAAGGAATTCTCTAATGGAGACCAATCATTACAGATTTCAGACAAGCATGCTTCTGTGTTCATAACAATTACCTTTCTAACCTAGCATGCAGTTCCATTGTATATGCAATCTAGGGATTATCTGTACTTGAAAATTAATTTGGATTAAGGTAGCATGTGAATTTAGAGAGTAAAAGTGGTTCCAGAATAACTCCATGTGTGGATGCTCTTATTCCGGAATAGGTCTGTCCACACATGACGTTATTCAGGAATAATTATTCCTGAATAATTCGATGTGTATACAGACCCTTAGTATGATATCTGTCTTTTTGCGACATTGTCACACCGCAAGATCATGTTTAATCTGTCAATCATTATTGGCTTTATAAAGTTGTGGTCCGCACTACAAAAATGTTTTTTAATAGAGAAAGTATTTAGTGGAACCATTCCTCTTCCATTTGTGACTGCACTGACCACTTTCCTCCCATTGGTGATACAACAACAGTGGGATGTGGAGTAATTTGTGGTATTGTACGTACGGTAGTACAGTGCCTTGTGACTATTCATTTTAATACCCATGATGGTCATAATTTTGTTTTGATTGTAAGGATGCCACTCATAACCAGATAACATATTTATGCATGGAATTTGATGAAGTTCAGTTGTAGTTTAACTTAAATTTGTTTTGAAAGGTTAGTATCACATCAAATATTGATAAACTTTCATTTTAGAAATGTTAAATTCTGTGTTTAGAAAAAGTAGTGCTTTTTGTTTATAATATATACTTGTCAAAGTCTCAAACCTCAATATGTTAGAGCTGTGAAAAGGAACAGAGCACTTATAACTATTCTAAATTTCTTAATATTTCATTCTTGGTATTTCAGAGACTGATGAAAGAATGTATGGTGAGACTAATCTATTGTGAAATGCTGGGATATGAGTCCTCCTTCGGATACATCCATGCTATTAAGCTAGCACAACAGGGAAACCTTTTAGAAAAAAGAGTTGGTATGTGTATAAGACTGGTATATCTTAATATTGTGCTCAAAATTGCCACAAATGTCCCCTGAAATTGGGTTGGAAGTCATAGTAAATACAAGAACTGGCTGAAAGTTTATTTTCAATATGTTTTCTTTTTGGGGGAAAAAAATTCAACTTAATATTTCAAAATTTGAAAATACAAGATTATTTTAGTTTTAAGAAGTTTTAAGTACCTGGTTGAAAAATGGGTGCAGAGGAGAAACCATAAAAAAAACAACAACCCACCACCTTTGTATTATTTAATAATTTTGAATATCCGCTCTAGTAAACAGGAGACACATACAAGCATTTTCATTTAAAGGATATTTCAAAGAGACACACTGGCTTGAAGGTCAATTTCCATGTGGAAACTTTATATATAGTTGTCATAAATAACCTCTTAAAATAATATAAGTGGAATATTAAAGAGACAATATTTAGTGGAGTAAGAGTGCTGGTTCTCCAACATTCAACTGTATTTATGTTTTTATAGGGTTTTATAATCTTTTCTTTTCAATATTAGTGCAGTTCCCTTTAAGCATATTCTTCCCTGTCTTTGTACACATCGGTCACCTCGGGTTAGAGGTGGCTTGTGACAAATGAGGCGAGAGGGAAGATAACGAGAGCGCCAGTGCAGAAGTCTATGGAGAAATCTGACTGATGGTGTAAAAGAATTTTTGAAATTTTACACCACATATTGTATGGGTAACAAAACAGAGATATGAAACTCTTCTTTATCTACAAAGTCTTATTGGTAGATTTGTTTCAAGGAGTTGACATTCTGATTAATCTGGGGTATCTCCAAGAGGTTGCTGATTCAAGTGTCTTAGTGAAGACAGGTTTCAGCGTGGTAGCAGTGTTAGTCTGTATCAGCAAAAACGATGAAGAGTCCTTGTGGCACCTTAGGGCTCGGCTACACTTGCAAGTTAGAGTGCATTAAAGCAACCCCTGGCACCCTAAGTCCTGAGGTGTCCACACTGGCAAGGCATGTAGAGCACCTGGACTCTGCAGCTGGAGCACTCCTGATAATCCACCTCCACGAGAAGCCTAAAGCTTGCTGCGCCCCGGCTGAAATGCCCAGGCGTCAGTGTGGACGAAGTGTTGCATTACTGCGCTGTGATTGGCCTCCGGAAACGTCCCATAATCCCCTGAAGTCAAGTGGCCACTCTTCTCGTTGTTTTGAAATTGGCTGCAGGCATGTGGCTATCCCCTTTCAAAGCTCCGTTTCTGACCGCCAGCATGCTTATCTGCTCTGGAACAAAGCAAACAATTAGTATGGAATGCTGCTGTTGTGAGCGTGTGTGAGAGGGTGTGGGTCTGCTGCTATCTGAATTTACGAGACAGCATGCTGACACGCTTTCAGCCCCCCAAAATACACTGTCTCTCCCCCCACATACACACAACACACTCCCTGTCACACTCTCTCCCCCCCCTCCCCATTTGAAAAGCACATTGCAGCCACTTGCGCACACGGGCATAGCTACCACAATTCACTGCTCTTTGTGGCATTGCAAGAGCTGCTAATATGGCCATGCCTGTGCGCTTGCAGCTGATAGTGTAAACACATAGCAGCATTTTCTCTGCTGCGTTCTCCGAAGGATGTTTTAACTCCCAGTGCTCTACATCTGCAAGTGTAGCCAAGCCCTCGGAGACTAACAAATTTATTTGGGCGTAAGCTTTTGTGGGCTAAAACCCCCTTCATCAGATGCATGGAGTGGAAAATACAGAGGCAGGTATAAATACACACCACATGAAAAGATGGGAGTTGCCTTACCAAATGGGGGGTTAGTGCTAATGAGCCAATTCAATTAAGGTGGAAGTGGGCTATTGTGTTTTTTCCTCCCTTGGTATTCACCCCTTCTTGTCAACTGTTGAAAATAGCCCACTTCCACCTCAATTGAATTGGCTCGTTAGCACTGATCCCCCACTTGGTAAGGCAACTCCCATCTTTTCATGTGGTGTGTATTTATACCTGCCTCTGTATTTTCCACTCCATGCATCTAATGAAGTTGGTTTTACCCCACAAAAGCTTATGCCCAGATAAATTTGTTAGTCTCTAAGGTGCCACAAGGACTCATTTTTTTTAGTGAAGACATTTCTTGTGTTGCAGAGAAAATAGTTCAGATGTGGGCCAAATTATCTGCATCCACAATAGCAAGGCAATATATTGGGTAAAATAACTGTTAGGTTTTCTGTGTTTGAATTTCAGCTGGTATAATTCACTCAAGCACTGGAGTTGGATAAACCTTGTATCAGAAACTGTAATTTTAGACCCATGTCCTTCCTCACTATTGAACACCAGTGAAAAGGTGCTCAGTGTGATGTTCGTAGGAATTGTTAACACCTTGTGGAAGGCAGGGTGCAATCTCTTTTGAAGACTGCTTGTATATGGTCTCTGATCAAGAGATTATTTCTTGACATTGACAAACTGGCTAACTGTCAACCAGTTTCATATCTTCCCTTGTAGGTAATATTATTGAGAAGGTTGTGTGAGACCAATCTTTCAGTATCTAGATGCCTCAGATATCCTGGACAAAAAAACAGCACTCGTTGCTTTGGTTTGAGGATCTACTAGTAATGGAGAATGAGTAGGTGTCTATGCTGATATTATAAAGTTGTTCAGTTGTCTTTGGTACTGCTGACTCTACATACTGTTGTATGCAATGGTGGACAGGGATCTTGAGTGTCTCCATTCTTTCCTGGGTGAGCGGTCCCAGGGGGTTGCATTAGGGAATTGTTCATCTGCCTCAAGGGTTCTCTTGTGGAGTCATCCTCCATCTTGTCATTCCTTTTGTTCGGGGGTGTGTGTGTGTGTGTGTGTATTGATTGTGTAGTGATTTAGTCCTAAGTTGAGCACAGGATCTGGTCCAAGAGGTGAATATAGCTGGGCTGCTTGGTAATAGTGACCGTAATATAATTGAATTTCATATCCCTGTGGCAGGAAAAACACCACAGCGGCCCAACACTGTAGCATTTAATTTCAGAAAGGGGAACTACACAAAAATGAGGAGGTTAGTTAAACAGAAATTAAAGGGTACAGTGCCAAAAGTGAAATCTCTGCAAGCTGCATGAAACTTTTAAAAGACCCCATAATAGAGGCTCAACTTAAATGTATACCCCAAATTAAAAAACATAGTAAGAGAACCAAAAAAGAGCCACCGTGGCTAAACAACAAAGTAAAAGAAGCAATGAGAGGCAAAAAGGCATCCTTTAAAAAGTGGAAGTTAAATCCTAGTGAGGAAAATAGAAAGGAGCATAAACGCTGGCAAATGAAATGTAAAAATACAATTAGGAAACCCAAAAAAGAATTTGAGGAACAGTTAGCCAAAGACTCAAAAAGTAATAGCAATTTTTTTTTAAGTACTTCAGAAGCAGGAAGCCTGCTAAACAGCCAGTGGGGCCCCTGGACGATCAAGGTGCTAAAGGAGCACTCAAGGACGATAGGGTGGAGAAACTAAATGAATTCTTTGTATCAGTCTTCCAGGCTGAGGATGTGAGGGAGATTCCCAAACAGCCATTCTTTTTAGGTGACAGATCTGAGGAACTGTCCCAAATTGAGGTATCATTAGAGGAGGTTTTGGAACAAATTGATAAACAGTTGTAAGTCACCAGGACCAGATGGTATTCACCCAAGAGTTCTGAAGGAACTCAAATGTGAAATTGCAGAACTACTAACTGTAGTCTGTAACCTATCATTTAAATCCGCTTCTGTACCAGATGACTGGAGGATAGCTAATGTGATGACAGTTTTTAAAAAGGGCTCCAGAAGTGATCCCGGCAGTTACAGGTTTTTAAGCCTGACTTCAGTACTGGGCAAACTGGTTGAAACTGTAATAAAGAACAATATTGTCAGACGTATAGATGAACATAATTTGTTGAGGAAGAGTCAACATGGTTTTAGTAAAGGGAAATCATGCCTCATCAATCTACTAGAAATCTTTGAAGGGGTCAACAAGCATGTGGACCAACGGGGTCCAGTGGATATAGTATACTTAGATTTTCAGAAAGCCTTTGACAAGGTCCCTCACCAAAGGCTCTTTTGCAAAGTAAGCTGCCACAGGATAAGAAGGAAGGTGCTCTCATGGATTGGTAACTGGTTAAAAGATAGGAAACAAAGGGTAAGAATAAATGGTCAGTTTTCAGAATGGAGAGAGGTAAATAGTGGTGTCCCCCAGAGGTCTGTTCTGGGACTAGTCCTATTCAACATATTCATAAATGATCTGGAAAAAGGGGTAAACAGTGAGGTGGCAAAATTTGCAGATGATCCAAAATGACTAAAGATAGTTAAGACCCAGGCAGACTGCAAAGAGCTACAAAAGGATCTCTCAGAACTGGCTGACTGGGCAACAAAATGGCAGATGAAATTTGACGATAAATGCAAAGTGATGCACATTGAAAAGCATAATCCCAACTATACGTATAAAATCATGGGGTCTAAATTAGCTGTTACCGCTCAAGAAAGAGATCTTGGAGTCATTGTGGATAGTTCTCTGAAAACATCCACTCAATGTGCAGTGGCAGTCAAAAAAGTGAACAGAATGCTGGGAATAATTAAGAAAGGGATAGATAATAGGACAGAAAATATCATGTTGCCTCTACATAAATCCATGGTACTCCCACATTTCGAATACTGCATGCAGATGTGGTTGCCCCATCTCAAAAAAGATATATTGGAATTGGAAAAGGTTCAGAAAAGAGCAACAAAAATTATTAGGGGTATGGAATGGCTTCCGTATGAGGAGAGTGTAATAAGACTGGGACTTTTCAGTTTGGAAAAGAGATGGCTAATGAGGGATATGATTGATGTCTATAAAATCATGACTGGTATAGAGAAAGTAGATAAGGAAGTGTTTACCACTTCTCATAACACAAGAACTAGGGGTCACCAAATGAAATTAATAGGCAGCAGGTTTAAAACAAATAAAAGGAAGTATTTCTTCACACCGTGCACAGTCAACCTGTGGAACTCCTTGCCGGTGGATGTTGTGAAGACCAAGACCATAACAGGGTTCAAAAAAGACCTAGATAAATTCATGGAGGATAGGTCCATTAATGGTTATTAGCCAGGATGGGCAGCAATGTTGTCCATAGCCTCTGTTTGCCAGAAGCTGGGAATGAGCAACAGGGGATGGATCACTTGATGATTACCTGTTCCGTTCATTCCCTCTGGGGCACCTGGCACTGGTCACTGTTGAAAGACAGGATACTGGGCTAGATGGACCTTTGGTCTGAGCCAGTAGGGCCATTCGTATGTTCTTATTCATATACATATACACACACACACATACCCTGAACCAGAAGAGAGGCAGATGAACAATTCCATAATGCAACCCCCTGGGATATATATTTGGGGCTTCTAGGAGAGTTAGTGAGATGGCATGGGCTCTCATGTCTTCAGTACGTTCATCTCCTCTCAGTTGATCTTGCCATTGTGGTTGAATGTTAGGTGGCAATCTAGGCACAAATGAGAACAAATTAGTTGAGGCCAAGTCCAGATATGACACAAGCAATGTTGGTAGGTTGGGAAAAACCTCTGAAGTGGCTGGCAGGGATTATATCGGCTTTCTTGACTGCAGGGTTGTGCCCATCACATTGTAACCTCCTATTTCGTTGAAGTTTGCCACTTGAGAGTTCAGTTAGAAAACAACTGCTGTTAGACAATAAGGTAGTACCTGTTAGTTACCATGAAGACTGCTTTTTAAAAATCAATGTCTGGCCAGAAAGCTGTGGTTTCTTCTTTGCAATATGGAATTTGCTACCATAGTCCATGTCTTTATCACTTACTGATACTAGACTACTGCCATGTACTCATTGTAGGCTACACCTGAAATTAATTCAGACACTGAAGGTAGTCCAGAATGCAGTGATCTGATTGTTTAGAGGTTTATCATACCAGAAGACATTTCACCAGTGGCTCAAGACCTATCTATTGGTTCCTTTGTGGAATCTAAATAGTAAAACCTTAAAAGGCCTGAGCCCTGCCTGTCTGAGACCCACAAACAGTTCCACCTTTTCTGGATAATCACATGGGATCAGAAGAGGTGCTTATTCCATCAGGGTCCTTGATTCTGGAATTTAGTTCCCTCCTTAGTTCCACATGGTTGAAGTCTGTGACCTTCAGGCCATGCCCCAAGCCCCATCTGATTTCCTGGGTATCTGAGGAGGGTGTGGGCATGAATGGGGTTTGAGCTGTGATAGAGGATTTGTTTGCTCTGCTATAATTATGTGGGTTGATTTGTGCTATTTGATTGGAATGACCAGTTTTAACCAATTTTTTGTGTTTGATTGTGTTATTTTAATGATGTCACAGTACCTAGAGCTCCTTTGAATAGGTCTGTTTTATAATTACCAATCCAAATAAATAGAAGAATAACTTAATTGAGTAACACTGGAAAATATATAGTGTTGAATTATTTAATGTAGTAAATAAACTGGGACACAATAATTCACTTAAAACTAATATTTGCTATATGGTGTCTCCGTCCTTAAAATGAAGTGCAGGCTGCTTATGGGTAGTTGTCTGGTCTACGGAGAATATAATTTTGTTAGTGTGGGGAAAAAAGCATTCATTTTCTAGTGAATTGTCTCTTGTATGATGTCATCCTCAGCGCTTTAGATCTGACAGCGTTACAGAGGCTTCTTAATTTTGGACACAGCTTGTGGGTTTCAAGTCCATCCTTACTGAACAGTACGACCAGCTAAATATCTCCAAGCAACCAGATGATAAAAAACCAGTTAATTTAAAACTCTGACGTTAAAAAAATAGGGTGCATCTACACAGCAAACTGCCCATCCCGCACAGCAGCGAATCTGAGTCAGTTACTTGGGCTCTGAAACCCACTGCTGCAGGGTTTTCCCCCCTTTTCTCGACTTACCCACAGAGATCCTATAATCTGCTGGTATTTTCACCGATGATTTGAGCCGTCAACTCTTGTGCTCTGGATGTCTTTCGTTTTCCTGTTAACATTTGGAAACAGTTTATAACTGGAAAAGGTGATGGAGGTTTTTTGTTTTTTTTTTCTTTTGTAGGTTACTTGGCTGTTTCTTTATTCCTCCATGAAAATCATGAACTGTTGCTTCTGCTTGTGAACACAGTTGTGAAGGTACAGCTTTATGGGAGGTTTGGAGAAAAACATTACACTAACTTTTTAGGCCAGTGCTTTTCCAAGTATAATGCCAATTAATTCTAAACTGTGTATTCATTAATAAAATCTACTTGTTTATCAGTTAACACTGAAATAAGAAAAATGACTATTCACCCGAGTTTCTTATGGGATTCTAATGTATCCTTTTGCTGTGGTTATAGTTTCAAGTTCTGTAGCAGTATTAAACAAATATAATGAAAATGCCACAGAAAAATTGAACAATCCCTTAATTAGCAGAGCATTAGAGAGCAGTGCTTCACAGTATAGCATAAAAAGTGGAAGCTTTCCCACATTTGGCCTTAGAAATGAAAAGTTTCCCATAGTTTAAGTTAGAAATGACCATTTTGTTGTCTTAATGACTGTGACAGGACTTGCAGAGCACTAACCTGGTTGAGGTGTGTATGGCACTTACTGTTGTCAGCCAGATCTTTCCACGGGAAATGATTCCAGCTGTACTTCCCCTCATAGAAGACAAACTTCAGCATTCTAAGTACGTATTCACTAAGAAGGATTTCAAGCATTGTTATGAACTTGGGATGTCCTAAAATTTAGATATTTTATTTCAGTACATAAATATTTCTCTTAAATACTGTTTTTGCTCTGAATCCTTCCTTAGTCATTATTCACAACTTTGTGTTCCTTTCCAAATTTTCCTTTTTGTCTCTCCCTGCCCTACCCGCTTTAGTTTGTGCATTCTTGATTGCATAATGAATGTCTTTTGTTTTGCTTAAGCATTGTTGATGGATAAATGTCATGTAACTTTATACATGTGGAGATACTGTTATACAGTGTATGTGGGTTAAGAAGTGTTTGTAGTATAAATGGAGTAACAAATTGTACCCTTGGAATTCAATACATCACAGAAAGATCTATGCCTGATTTTTGGAGAAGTTGAGCATGCGCAAACCCCACTGAAGACTGGTGAGGTGCAGGTGCTCAGCCCTTTGATTGTCAGGCCTTGTAGTTAATAACATTACATACAGAGCTAGCACAGTGTACATGCTAAACTAAAAGGTAGCAGAAGCATGATCTAACTCCAGGAACTACTAAACGCTACGCTTTCTGTGCCACTGACTCATCATGTGGTCTTTGCCAGATTACTTATCCTCTCTCTTGTCTCGGTGTCCTCATTTGTAAAACTTGAATGATAATATTTAACTATTTCAGAGGCATCCTGATGTGATGATTAGTTAATATTTTAACTAACTAGCTATAAAAGTGGGAAATGTTACAAAGTCAGTAGTTTTCTTAAAAATAAAGTCTCTATTTCATAATATAGAGAAACAATTTAGGTTAAGTAAAGCTTCTATTTAGGGTCAAGTTGCTTGATCTTTTAAAGAAAAATGTTTCTCTTTAGGGAAATTATCCGAAGAAAAGCAGTTCAGGCGTTGTATAAATTCTATCTCATTGCTCCCAACCAAGTCCAGCACATCCATGACAAGTTCCGGAAAGCCCTGTGTGACAGGGATGTTGGAGTCATGGCTGCTTCTTTACACATTTACCTTCAAATGATTAAGGTAGGCTGAGAATTAGAAGTCTAATTGAACATATAGGCTGTTTTTTAAAATGTACAAACAACTGTAAAATTGTTCTGTAGGAAAATCACTCTGGAAAGATAGTCTGTCAACTTGTCTTCAGATTACCACGATTCACCTTCATAACTGTACTATATTCATTAGCATTCCAACCCTTGACAAAAGCCCCAGCTGACCATTTCGGAGCCTGACCCTGGTGATCAGCACCTTTGGCATAATGGCTCTGTTTTTAAGTCCAAAGTTTAGGTTTTTTTCAGTGTGTTATAGATTATGCTGAGGATTGCCTGTGAATTCAGTGTACCATTGCAAGGGAAATGCTTTCAGTCATATTCACTGTCTTGTTAAAAATACAGAGAAAACGCTTAAAGCTTAAAGCAAAAAAGAGTTGATGTTGGGGTTTGAGAGGAAGAAGTGATGGATTAGGAAATGGAATAGGATAGGAAATTATTAATTGAATAATAGCTAATAAGATTATATTCCTGTCATGGCTTTATCGTGTATTTCTGAGGCACTGTACTTAAAATATTTGAATTGTATTTCTCTTTTCCTTGTCTAGAAAAATGCATCTGGATACAAGGACTTGACAGAGAGCTTTGTAACCATTCTAAAGCAGGTAGTGGGAGGAAAGCTTCCTATAGACTTCAATTACCACAGCGTGCCAGCACCATGGCTACAAATTCAGCTCTTAAGAATACTGGGGCTGTTAGGAAGAGATGATCCAAGGTAACCAGTTTCTTCTATGTAATAAATTCTTTGCAAATAGAAAGAATACACAGTGAGTCATTATTTTGTGGTAATGCATAACTTTTACTGTGCTTTCGCAACACAAAGGAAAATAAAGGATTAATACATCCTATTTGCTCTTCATTAACAAATACTGTAAAAAGTGATTTATTGAAAGTTGTTATACTTGACTTGTTTCTCAGCTCCTGTGTGGGTCAGGCAGCTGATTATGGGATATGTGGTGAGAGACGCTTGTGGACTTGAGATCAGAATTTCCATTAATTTGGTTGATAATATGATCACAGTGAAAATCCAAGACAAGACCGTGTAAAAAGAATGCTGTCCTTCGTAAGGGTTTAGTTGTTTGTGTTCTTTATTCCTCTTAACCAAAAAGTCTGTCTTATTTACTGATCTCAAGGAATGTATTTTTAGTCTATTTTGATGCAATAGACGGCTTATTTGAAAGTAGCAAACATCTTGTGAGATGCCATTTAGAGCCAGATTGTAGAGCCCTTACTCGCGCTAATGAGAATTAATTAATATGAATAGTCTCATTGAAATCATGTGGAGCAGCTTGTAGGATTAGGATGTTGTTTTTTTACTAAACAGGTGGGGGGGGTTTGTTTGGTTTTTTCGATTAATTTACTGGGCTTCAAATAAAGTGAGAACTTTTTTACAATTTTTATTTTGTAACAGGACAAGTGAATTAATGTATGATGTTCTGGATGAGTCTTTAAGAAGAGCAGAAATAAATCATAATATTACATATGGTGGGTGAGAATATATTGTATAAGTACAAATATTTGCAAAGAATGAAAATGTAAGTGTTCAGTTATTGTGCTGTTGACATGAGTAACTATGTATTCTTTTGTTTAGTAATCTGGTGAGGTCATGAATTTGGGTATTGTGACTGGTGAATTATAAAGCAAGGAAACATAATGTTAGTAATGTTAACACATGAACAGAAATTACATATTCCTGTATAATGTAGTTTTGAAATGTTTTTGAAGTGAAGAATATTTATTTAATGGGAAACAACTAAATATTTGTAGATCCAAATTTGCGTGCCTTCAGACTGCTGCATACTATGTGAAAGTCCTCCAAATTATGTTGGGCTTGCTCTTTTCCTCAAATATGCAACATCTTGTACTTGCGAAATCATCAATTGCACAGGTGTATTCATTATAGTTAGTAGCTAACTTTAAAAAAAAAAAAAAGTGATACTGCCTTGTGTGTCAGAAGGAAGGACTGGACTTCAGGTTTCTTTAAAAAAAAAAAAAAAAAAAGTCCTCCACATGATTAGTAGTTAAGAAACTTAACAAAAAGTAAGTGTGTGTGTGCACGCGCACGTACGCTATCCTTCCTTTCACAAACACATTTGTGATCTCTTGAGTTGCACTCTAGAACCTCCTGTTAAAATTAGTTCCAGAGCTCATTGACACTGATGCCTGTGAAAGTGTGTTTTGACATAAGGCACTACCGTTAATCTTATAATTATTGCAAACGGCCATATTAATTTACTCTTTAAAAAATATTTGACAATAGAGCAGAATCAACAAGAAATAATACTTTCCAACTCATAGGGGCATTTTGCAAACTATGGAGAGTTTTAAGGATGTGTGGGTAGGTTGGCTTTTTTTTGCTATCTTTCAAGAACAAATATCTAAGGTTCTAGAACACGAAATTAACAACTGTTCTTTTACCCTTAAAAAATGTAGTAGTTCATGGTTTTAAAACGAAGCCATAAATGTTGCCAGCGATCGATGGACAATTAAGATGTGGTGTTGTAAGTGGCTGAATAACAGTGGAACATATGCCCCAAAGCTCTAGGAGTCTATTTTCTTGACTAGGTGTATTTTCTAAGCATTAATGAAAGTGAGGTGCACGTGAAATGCTGAATACCCCCCCCCTTTATTTTATTTTTTTGGCAAATGATACGCTGATGAAACATCTGTCAAATCTTACAACCATCCATTCACTGTGTTTCACTTTGCTTGTATATCAGAAGTGTGCTTTTATGCACAAACAGCAACATCGACATTGAGGGGTTTGTTAGTGTATGATGGATTTAAACATGTAACTCTCAAGAGAGTTAATGTGCATAAATTCTCTGCACAGTGAGAGGAAATTGGATTCCCAAGACTGAGTGTTAAATACTTTAGGGATCAGAGTAGACAACCATTTGTGAAAAGCCTTATTTTGGCACTTATCAAGTGAAATGTACACAGAGAACAGAATTTACATGTGCGTTCCTTTGCTCACCATATGTTAATTGTTGATAAAGTGCTAAAAAATCTATGATCCAAGCCAATGTGAAAATGTTAAAATCTCTGATTTCTTTGTTGCAATATAGCCAATTCTCTAATATTAAAAGCCGTACCTTGAAGACATTCCTAGCTTGTTGCATGTAGCTGCACAGTTAGTGCACATACCTTTCTCATATTTAGTTTAATTGCTAACAATTGATGGATTCTGGTCTTTTCATCTGGTTGCTAACCTAATATGAGATGTGGAAAAAACATGTGAATTGCTGTTATGGTCCTAAATACCAATTGGCAATCTAACTTGGATATTGAATTTTGCTATTGACTCACCTTTATTGGTGCCCTAAAAGATTGATTTGTATCTCCTTTCCTTCACTTCACTAGTTTTCCCATTTAGCTTTTCCCAGCAGAAATATTTTTTTTCCCTCAAGAGGAATTATGCCTCTGAGCTCTTGTCCCTTTTGTCTATGTCATAAGGTTTGTTGATCTTGGTTGTTTGTAATGACTTCATAATTGCTGCTGTGATAGTCCCCAAGTCCATATGAATGTGCCTTTCCTGAAAGTCAGTCAGAATACAGGATGGTGGAAACTTCTGTTCAACAAAATCAATTCAAACTTTTCCATACACTAAACGTAAATGGCAAACTAGTTTTAGATAAATTTCTCTCCCTAAAGACTTAATAATCCATTGTTGGACCCCAAAGTCCTGTCTGTTGTTGACAGAGAAGTATATTTTTGTGGTGTTGTGTTTTTTTAAGTTAAACTACTGAGCTTCTGCCCACCCTTTCTGCAGTTCATCTAACCATCCTACTACATAAACTGTACTAGGCTCCCTACCAGATGCCCTCTGTTCGCTTTCATGTTACTAACAATAGCTGCTTGTTAAATTTTTCTACATTAAGACGCAAACATCATCTTCCTCTGATGTCATCTTCCTGGTATGTGGATGATAAAACAGAGAAAATACTTCCAGTCACTTGTGCAAAGTAATTGAAATCCCACTCTGCAATGGTGGCTATGTACCCAACCTAGCCATTGTCCAGCTACATTATTTGGCCTCTTCTAAACAGGACAATCTTGATATCTCCTCTAGTTGGGTGAATCACATTCATGGGAGATGCAACAGGGCTATTGCTTGCCTGAAAGAAGGAAATTTATTCACATCTAAACAGTAACACTTGTTTTAAAATATTTCATGGGATAATATTTTAGATCCCAGAAATCTACATGCAGCACACATATCAGATTGCTTTAAAATATTAAGCCCAACCCCTTTCCAGAGAAAGTCGTCATTTGACATGAAGATTTTTTACTTGTATGTGCTAGCTTTTTTATGAAAATGCATTGTTATAGAAATGTATATTCTTAAATTACTGCCGTTTACCATTTGTTGTTTTCCCACCAGCTATCTTATTTGAATGTGTACAAACAATTTATACCATTTGCCCCAAATCTGATCTGCTTGAGAAGGCTGCCAAATGCATTGGGAAATTTGTTCTATCACCTAAAATTAATTTGAAGTATTTAGGTAAGGATACCTGATCATCTCAGCAAGAAGATTTTAATCTGATCATGTGTATGTGATCTCTTGTCATATCTCTGTGCAATAATTTATTTTCTAGGATTAAAGGCTCTGACCTATGTTATCCAGCAGGATCCAAATCTGGCACTTCAGCACCAAATGACAATAATTGAGTGTCTGGACCATCCTGATCCTATCATCAAAAGGGAGGTAAGTTGATTTTTGAACACGCACAAAGAGGGCTTAATGTTTAAGGTCCATGCTATATTAATGTCGTTTTAGAGTAAATGCCCTTAATATTACAATAGTGGCGTCATCAAACAAAGGCATGTTTATATTGTTCGGCTCTCGTAACTATGTGAAAAGAATTCTATAGAAAATTTGGTCCTCTTTATACTCTTTGTTTTCTCCTTTCCTTTTCTACAAATCTTATATTTCATTCTAAAAACAGTCTAAAAACATTTCTTAAGAAGATAAATGCCAGTATGATTGGAGAATAAAACAATATATTGTGTTTAAGATTTTTGTCCAATTTGGCACTATGTACTAAGTTCCTGTCTGTGTGTCACTCCTGTGTTGTGTGATTAGAGTTACTTAAATGTTGTTTCTTTTGTTTTCCCCTTCAGACATTGGAGCTTCTCTACAGAATTACCAATGGGCAGAATGTAACCGTCATAGTTCAAAAGATGCTGGACTACTTAAGACAAAGCAAGGAAGAATATACCATCATCAACTTAACTGGCAAAATAGCAGAATTAGCTGAGAAATATCCTTTTCTTTTATTGAAGATTTAGAGCCAAAGCTTCTGTTACAGTTTCATGTGACATCACTAATCACACCCTCCAAAGATCATTTTGTGGTCTTCCAGGAAAAAGAGGGAAGCCAGGATACTATAATTCTTTATTTAAAATTTAAAAAAATAAACAGAAGAAATAATGATCTCAGTATTTTTTTAAATTTCATCACAAAGTAAAGGGCACTGAAGCATTTGGGCTTTGCTTTGGAGTTCACCTTTTAAGTCAATATTAATAACCTTCTCTTAAAAGAAAACTTTAAAAAACATGCACTGTAATCTAAAGGAGAGAAGGAGTTTAGTGCCTTATTGAATTAGACTTCAGCACTTCCTAATTGTGAGTGTGGTTTTCCTAGTAGAGTGCAGCTCTTCCAGTGAAATAGGTAGTTGTGGAGCACGATATGGCTTTGTTTAAAATAAATAAATAAATCCCCAGTAGTCCGAAAAGCATCCTCATTAAATGAGAACACTGCAGGACAGCAATGGTGCGTGCTTTGGGATTGCAAAACACTTAGAAGAAAAAAGATTCACAGTTCCATATGGTAACACTTTTTGAACCACAGGCTCTGGGAAAACTGCCCTATTCGTCCTTTTTCTCCTTCCTTAGCTTGGAAAACATTTAAATAGCAAACACTTGTCTGTCCAGATATTCCATATGTGTATGTGCCCTCAAAACTTTTTACGTCTTTCTTTCTTTCCTTTTTTTTTTTTCTTCCAGATTGTAAGTAAAAATAGATAAAATATACACTAGTGCATTATGTTTATCTTCCCTTAATGTTCTGGATACATATGCCCCTGACAATGAGTGGTTCATCCAGACTATGAATGCAGTATTTTCGGTAGGAGGAGATGTAATGCACTCTGACATCCCAAACAACTTCTTGAGGCTGCTGGCTGAAGGTGGGTAACTTACTGAATTCTGTAAAGAGAAGCCATGCTTTGTTAGCTAATGTCTTGGTTTTATTTTTCTAAATCTGTCTTGAATTCCATGACACATGTAGCATAAGTTTTTAAGCAAAGATTTAATAAGGTGTAATTTTCTTTTTAGGATTTGATGATGAAAAGGAAGATGAGCAGCTACGGCTTTATGCTGTCCAGTCTTATCTTTCTTTGCTGGAGGAGGAAGATACTTTTTATCCACAGAAATTTCTTCAAGTTATGAGTTGGGTAAGGTTGATGCAGTATGAAAATATGATAGCTGTGAAAACTGCCTGTCATAAGTGATGGCTTTTTAAACTTTATATTCTCTTTAAAAAACAAAAACTTATTACACTGAAACTTATTCTATAAGCACCTGTTTCAGTGGCTGTGAGATTCTGACTTTTCCATAGTAAGGCTGTATGTGTTTGTGAAAAGCATTCGTAACCTTATGATGACCTGCCCAGCTGCTGAACTTGTATTCTGTGCACCTGTGAAAACAAGCAGATTCCACTTGAACTGGAAACTGAGCAGATGGTTAATTGTGCTTGTATAGGTATTGGACTAGGCAGCTGCTTGATTTAATGAATCAAAAATTGGCATCCCACTGATGTATTTCACTTGCATTTTCACAAACACAGTAAAATGTAATCTCAGACATTTTCCATTTAAAATTGAAATATAGCTTGGAAAACCCTATCTGCACTAGAAAATCTGCACTTTGCTGACTCTGATTGTCACAACTGGGTCCCCTCGAACCAGTGCTGAAAACAGTTTAATTGCTAGGGTAGACATGACAGGCATCGTTATAGAAAACATTGTTGATTTGCAAACAGAAACCTTAAGTTGAGATTGATTTTTTTAAATAAATTAATTTGATCTGCTCTGCACTAGTGTCAAGGTTCCTCCCCCACTCTGAACTCTAGGGTACAGATGTGGGGACCTGCATGAAAAAGCCTCCTAAGCTTATCTTTACCAGCTTAGGTCAAAACTTCCCCAAGGTACAAAATATTCCCCCCGTTGTCCTTGGACTGGCTGCTACCACCACCAAACTAATACTGGTTACTGGGGAAGAGCTGTTTGGACGCGTCTTTCCCCCCAAAATACTTCCCAAAACCCTGCACCCCACTTCCTGGACAAGGTTTGGTAAAAAGCCTCACCAATTTGCCTAGGTGATTACAGACACAGACCCTTGGATCTTAAGAACAATGAACAATCCTCCCAACACTTGCACCCCCCCTTTCCTGGGAAATGTTGGATAAAAAGCCTCACCAATTTGCATAGGTGACCACAGACCCAAACCCTTGGATCTGAGAACCAATGAAAAAGCATTCAGTTTTTTACAAGAAGACTTTTAATAAAAAATAGAAGTAAATAGAAATAAAGAAATCCCCCCTGTAAAATCAGGATGGTAGATATCTTACAGGGTAATTAGATTCAAAAACATAGAGAACCCCTCTAGGCAAAACCTTAAGTTACAAAAAAGATACACAGACAGAAATAGTTATTCTATTCAGCACAATGCTTTTCTCAGCCATTTAAAGAAATCATAATCTAACACATACCTAGCTAGATTACTTACTAAAAGTTCTAAGACTCCATTCCTGTTCTGTCCCTGGCAAGAGCAGCATACAGACAGACCCTTTGTTCCTCTCCCTCCTCCCAGCTTTTGAAAGTATCTTGTCTCCTCATTGGTCATTTTGGTCAGGTGCCAGCGAGGTTACCTTTAGCTTCTTAACCCTTTACAGGTGAGAGGAGCTTTCCCCTGGCCAGGAGGGATTTCAAAGGGGTTTACCCTTCCCTTTATATTTATGACAACTAGTAATTGAACTGTTTTCAGGGTTAGAGAGGATTGGTTGCTGACCACTGTTCTGAGTGGTGGTCAGTTTTGTAGAGTAGGTAGAACTACAGTGAGATGATCTTAAACTGAGGACCAGCCAGCAATACTCGAAAACCAGCAGATACTATGGCTCTTTCCACAGTATATTCCTTGTTTTTATTTTAGGTGGATATATAATTAGAAGGAATTTTTTAAAAGTCCAGAATTTAAAGGATTTCCTTATCTTATAATGGTTTGCTCAATGTGAGGAGGATTTTATGTTAGAGTATTACCATTACATATTAATTTCCAAGATAAAAGCACTGATTCCTGTGTAACTGAATGTCTGTTATATCTGTTTCTTGCTCATAGGTTTTGGGGGAGTATTCCTACCTTGTAAATGATGGTGATCCAGAAGTCATTATAACAAAACTGCACAGGTTGCTGAAGCAGACCTTTGTTACTTCTGAAACTAAAGCCTGGATTATGACTGCAATCACTAAAATATCATCCCGTATGCCTTGTTCTAAAACAGTTGATAAACTAATCCAGGAATTCAGCACTTCTCTAGACACGTGCATGAGGCAATATGCCTTTGAATTAAAACATTTGTGTGAAAACAAGGAGCTGATGAAAAACGTGCTTCCGCTTGATGCCAGTTGTGATGAGATAATGGTAAGATAACTGTAATGTATGTATTCTGTGCTTAAAGATTCATTTATTTCTATAAAATACGTATTTAAAATTATTATATTTAGATATGTTTAAGAGGAAAGATGCAAATCTATCAAATCACTTAGAATGGTTGCAATACGCACTCTTAACGGGATTCTTGATAAGTCTTGATGTGCTGGTGATATTAAGAGGCAATGAAGTTGTCATTTGCTATGCTATATTCATATTTGTTATTTTATAAAATGATTTTTTTAGGAAGGCAAATTCAGCCTTTTGTGTATCCAGTGTTTGTCTTTGTGGTTCTATTTTTTGTTAGAACAGCCTACTAGTAGTTGAATTGAAGTATAGTATTTGGGAAGGGAAATGTTTACCTCCCTTACTAATTTTACTGTAAAATTAGTATATTTACATGGTGTTCAGTTAGATTGTGTTGGGATGCAAGTTCTTTTGTTCAAGATTTCTTGTCCAAACATACCAGTGAGATTGGAAAATTGTAGAGAAGCTAATTATATTTAAGAACTACCATCCAAACTGATGTTCTGTTTTAACATGTTATCTCAATACCTTCTATATACAAAATACTCCCTTGGACGATAGTGTAAGTATGGAATACATTATCTTCTTAGTGATGCGGGTGTGAGAGCTGTGAGATGTCAGCACTCTGCATTTTTATAAAATGGAAAGTTCCTTTGTTAAGAAATATTAGTTTCATTTAGTGGAAAGATTCTGATTATTACTGTCTTTCTGAATTCAACGTAGGTAGATGCTTCCTTATCTTTCCTAGATGGGTTTGTGGCTGAAGGACTTAGCTGTGGTGCAGCACCATATAAACCTCATCACCAGAGACAGGAGGAGAAGCTTTCTCAGGGAAAAGGTGACTGTTGGTTTGTATTTATTAAATGTATGATAAATTAGCCAAACAATTAAAACAAATTAAAATGTTAGTATAACGTTGGTGTAAGAACACCATCCATTTACATCTTCTTCCCCAAAATGTTACGTCTCCATTTAAAAATGTCATCCACAACTCTAGGAGCGAATCATATTGCCCAGCTTCCTGAATTACATAGGCTATAGATTGCAGTGCTTACAAACAAGGCCTGGTCCAAAGTCCATTGAAGTTGATTAAAATTCTCCAATTTACTTCACTGAACTTTGGATCAAACCCATAGTGTGCACCAGGACCCTATCTTTCATATTCAGCTTTTGATTATGCAGAGGATCTCAGGCTGCTCTGTGATGTTCTTCAGACCCTCTGCTACTTTGTGCCACTTTCTTAGCTCACCCCTTGGCCGCTAGGATTCATCCAAAAAACTCTTCTTTATTGAAGATTGGACTAAGCTCCCTTTGGGACTTGGCTAATGCCATGCCTGATTAGCATGTGTAACTTCATCTACAAATATCTTGTTGCTCTGGAGTCAAGAACATAAAGATAAAGGCGTGGAATTCCCAGTTTTATAGTACTTAGCATTCGCATCTTGGCCACACTATTGTCCATCAGAATTTTTTTTTTTGATTGGTTTCTGGGCTTTGTTTTTTAGAAGAAATATCACTTTTGCTTTACTTATATAAACAGTTTAGATAACAGGGAATATCCCTTTATAAAAACCTTAAGTAGAAAGATTCTATAGATCTAAGAGCAGAATTATTTGATCTACCCTATTTTTAATATATATTTAGAATGCATTTTGTGTAAAAAGGCACAAAACATTGTTTTAAGTGAAGTCCCAAGGAAGATTACAAGTGTATAATGTTGTGGTTCGCTGTGGAAAATCAGAGAGTACAATAGTCTTGTGTATAGTATGGCTAGTTCTAGCATTTGATTTTCTTAAGCAAGGTAGGTACTCCTGGCTTTCTTTTAAGTTATATGCCATATAACATGCTATAAGCATGAAACAGTGAAGAGCTTCTCGTATGTTTGTGTTCTAAAAAATTGTGTATGAGTGAGAGAGAGAGCGTGGACAAACTTAATGCGAATTCAAAACACATTAGAGGATGTGCAGTCTGAAGAGCACATGCAAAAGTTGGTTTATTTGGTCCTGTGCAATGTCTCTTGAAAATAATAATAAAAAAACAGTATTGACAATAATTTTTAGGGGAGAAAATATAACTTCTGATGTTTTTCAATTTAAAAAAAAGTTGTATGTGAATTTACGTACGAACCAAGGAGGTGTATGTGTACATGTTTCTTTGAGAGAGGAAAAAGCCTATCGGTCTAAAATAAAATAAAAAATCAGCAACAGGAAACAGCTGATTTTAATAAGGATAAAATCCTGAATGTAAAGGCTGAAAATTGACAAATCTTAGCTAGAATAACTTGTCTTTTTCTAAAGCAGCTAGATTTTTTTTTTTTTAAGTTTTATGATCCGTCTTGATAAATGCCATTCTGTCTGTATTGCAGCTCTGAATTTTGAACCTTATGGATTGTCATTTACTTCAAGCATGTCTTCATCCGGCTTCACTGGCCGACAATCTCCTGCTGGTCTTTCTCTTGGTTCAGACATGTCTGGTAATAGTGCCGAGATAGGACAGAAAGAGTGAGTTTTCGATCTTTGAACTCAAATATAGAATTTCATGTGCAGTTAAACCTATGTTCTTGTCAGGGGTTGACTTCTTGCTACTTGTTTAATCACATGGGACTTAATTTAGAACAGTAGATCTTGAAAACAGCTATTATGTAAAAAGAAATCACTATGCTAATCCAGTATACAAAAAAGAAATAATCAAGGATACCTTTTTTGTCAGATTAACTAGAAGAAATTTATGCAGTGAAAATGCAAGCTTTTCAGAATCTTACTCTTCAGACAGTACAAAACTCTGTAATAAAGGAAATTTCCTTAAGGTTCAGAGATCCGTGAATAATTATAGTTCCACACAAATTAGTTAGTTATTAAATGGGACTTAACATCTTCAAAATATCCTGGAACAGCTGGATGTTCCTCACAAGTACTGTTGAAGAATTTCAGAAATGTGAACTTAGTCAGAAATTCTCTTTTTATTAGCACAAGGGATAACATAAAACCCTACTCATTCATTGCACTTACAGCCACAGAATATTTACAAGTCTGGCAAGTCTTGTGCTTTATCTGAGAGTCTGTCCAGAGTGTTCAAGCATATTTTTGTGCTGGTATTAGGCTCTGCTGGTGTTGAGGTTAGTTTCAATTGAATAGAAAATTAACTCATCTCAGATTTGTAAAGTAAAGTCCAAACATATAATGATGTGCAGCATTTACAAAGTGCTTTACATCTTCAAGTATTTTACAGGTTTTCACTACTTACTAAGTGCAATACTTCTATGAAATAATGTATTCCAGTCTCACTATGCTTCTCATTCCTGGCTTCTCATTGAACACCTTGTCAAATTCTGGATCTCATTCCTAATCTTCAAAGCCTTACATGAGATTGGCCCAATTTATCCAAGGAAGTGCCTCACTCTAGATCAGTGGTTCCCAAACTTTAACAAGTTGTGAACCCCTTTCACTAAAATGTCAAGTCTCACAAACCCCCTCCTAAAAATGAATATTTCCAGGGATTTTTCTCTTATACCTGAGTATAAATTATAAAAGCAGTGATCCTGGAAATATAACATTTGTTTTTATGACCATGCTTATTACACACTATTTATTATTCATTATTATTTATCATTACAGTACTATTATTACATTATGAAAACGGCACCACTCTTCCAACATCTCACTTTCGTAGCTTGTATCACTTTGAATAAGCCTGTTATAAGACAAAGCTCCTATGTTTCATCAGGGAGTATCAGATGTGAAACAGCATGAAGATATTTAAGAAGCCAACTCAAAGAAGCATTCAGGTCTTGAGCAGTCCAGGCAAACAACGCACGTTACAACAAAGCTTAAACATGTTCTTCATAATAATTTTAAAAACAATACTAGCTGCCTATTTAATTTTAAAAACAGTAAAAAATATCCACCTCCCTTTACATTTTTTATAAGGAGTCTTGAAGTTTAAATCTCCTCAGTGTGATAGATATGCTTGCTTTGATCTGCTTAGCTCTTGGAAGTCCAGGGGCTCTGGGCTGCTAGCCCCATGCTGCCCGGGGTCCTAGGGACAGCTGTGTCCGCCATTAGGAAATTTTTTCCCGAGAACCCCCTATAACATTTCACGAACCCCAGTTTGGGAACCACTGCTCTAGATGATTATGATCTGTCAAAACAATTCAGTTCTGCTGGAACAACAGAAATATCAATATCAAGAATGAGACTTGTGTCTGCATGAGTCAGTTTTCTCCACATCTGGCCCATGTCTGTTAAATCCCGCTTTCTGGATCTTCCTCACCTTTAGTGACCCCACCTAAATTACATATCGTCAAATCTACAACAAAAATATTTATAACAAGTGAAGGAAAGAGAGTTTTTTGTACTTGCTGATGTATATAAAAACCTAAATAGCTGAGAGCAAACTGGGCATAGTATATCCACTTCTTGCTGATTTCACAGCAGGGACTGTGTGTGCATTTGTGGGGTGCTTAGCTAGTAGCAGAGAAAGTTGCTAGCATGGAATGTCCATACAGACAGAAGGCGGCTAGTTTCTATTCTCCTGTCTGTTGGGACGTTAGAGTGCAGAGTGTGTGCAAATTTACAGAAATCTCTGTAAGAATGGCTTTGCTTTTCGGAATAGCACTTTCACAAGCTGACCCTGCTTTATTACATATCTTTTTAGGACCAATTGTCTGAAACTTGATGGTGTGAGGAAACTATGGGGGAAAGAAGGCTACCTCCCGAAAAAAGAGAACAAAACAGGAAAAGAAGATAAAACACAACCTGTTCCTCAGGATAGCATATTAATGGGACATGTAGTTGATCCTCCTCTGACACAGTCTGAGCAACAGGTAGTCAGCCTTTCAGAGGAAGACAAGGAGAAGCAGCAGCTCGCATCAACGTTGTTTGTGGGGCTAGGGTCAAACAACACTATCAGTCTGGTAAGTGATTTTTATAAATTACAAGTTACAAAAAAGTTTACAAAATAGCTGTATTTAATTAGTTATTATTTATATTCAACTGCCCTCAAATCAGTGTTTCAGTAGCATTTAGAATGTGACATTAATTAAAAAAAGGATATTGTCACTACCTAAAGAACCTGTTTATCGGGGCTCCTAAAAAGAAAGGAGCAAAAAATACTTTAAATGACAGATTTTTAAATCAAGCAACTTCTTTGGTTATTAAAGACTTTGGAGTGAACTGTCCTGAGTAGCCAGAACTCCCCTGTGTTTGCTTGTCCTGCCTCCTCACAAAGCTCAAGCTATGCTAAGCTTCCCAAGTATTCGCTACCTTTAACCCAGCTTCCGAGAGCCCTTGGAGGTTGCAGAGCTCGCATAGCTGGCAGTACGTGTTAAGACTGACGCATTTTCCATAACTTGTGCCTGGGTATAGTAGAATGTGAGAAGTAAAATCACTCACCATTCAAAGACTCTTCTTCTAGTGACCTTTATTAGCACTGCTTGTTCAAATCTTAGTCTCTTATCCCTGATTTTCTGCAAAACCTTTATGTACATATAGATGCTTTTCAACAGAGGATAAAGTATTTCCTAATTGTACAGGGACCACAATGATGCCTGCACTACAGAACAACTCTAATGCCCTCAAAGTAACTTAAGTGTCCCATGCAGTGGACACTGCATATTTTAAAACAAACCTTTATTTAAAGGTCACCTCTGTTGGATAGTTGACTTTTATCTGCCCTTTGTCCCTGGTCCTTCCAGACAGGTTTCACTCTGTTAATTAAGCCAATCACCAAGTTAAAGAAAATAAATATAAAAATCTCTTCTGTTTTTTCTTCAGATGGGGAAAGCAGATACCACCACTCAGAAGTTCAAAAAAAAATCAAAAATAAGTGAAACCCAGAATAGCAAAGAAACATCTAGTTTCCAAAATATTGCTACCTTGCCTTTCAGTCCTTTACTTGGTACAGCTCCTAACAATAAGGAAAACTTTCAGGGCAATGAACATCTCGGATTAAGGAAAGTCTCACTGAGTTCTTCAGAAGTTTTGGAAGCTAGTGTTTCATTTGATACGTCTCAATCGCTGACAGAAGCTGGACTGGATGAGACGCTTTCAAACTGTAGACTATCAACATCCTCTTTGTTTGCTGATAGTAATATTGAAGTTTTTCAGCCTTCCCAAAGTGTTCCAGATATAGTTGCCAATAAGGCCCCCTTGAATCTTTGCTTACCAGATGAACTAGCTGATCACCCTCATTCAGAAATAGTAGAGCTTTGTAGCAGTGACATCCTGACTATGTACTCGTGTAAAGTTTGGACAGATGACTGTTTACTGCTTATCTTGTTTGTTGCCAACAAAAGCACCTCACCGCTCAAAACTGTGACCCTAGTGTTTGAAAATGCAGAGCATTTTAAGGTAAGAAAATGAATTGTTACTTGTACAATAGAAGAGAACCATTGGTTTCCTCTGTTTTTTTACTTATGACATACAGTGAGTTTTTCTTTTCAGGTAGTTCAGTTGATAAGCTTTTGATGACTTTTAAGGAATCAGATATGTTACTATTCTTGTTCTCATGTAGTGAGAGCAATCAAGATGTTTTAGAGATTTCTTTAGGACTTCAGCTACATCTGGGATTTGTATAATGGTTGGTAAAGGAGTATCATGGTAAAAAAAACATTAAGGATGTAATAGAAAAATCTTATTGATTGAACCTCAAACCTTTACATGTGTTAATTAATCTAAGAGTATGTCTGAGCTGGGAAGGGTACACATATCCACACTGGCTCTGCTTGAGTGACTGCCTAAAAATAAAAGTGTGTCCACGGCAATATGGCTGGCTCTTTGGGTTAGCCTCCCTGTGTACGTTCGGGTATGTACTCAGGTGGCTAACCTGAGCCGCCAGCTGTGCTGCTGAGGACACACTCAGCAGAAGCCAAAGACTGAACTTTTCGGCACTAGCAAGACATGGGTACATGTTTGCAAACTAGGAATCACACCTCCTAGCTCAAATGTAGATGTACCCTAAAAAGTATTTATGGATTGCTATAAATGTCTGTGGATCTTGCTATATTCCAAGATGTGGCCACTTGCACATCCCCGAAACATGGTTAGATATCCTCAAAATGACAGTATATGCCAGTGATAGTATTGAGCATTGGATAATCAATGTTCATAAGAGTGCTGACTGATCTATAGAAATTGTCTCCTATTCAAAAGCAGAAGGGTAGACTTTTGGGGTCGGAGGGGAGAGGGAATCCACTGAAAGGGAGTTCAGGTACGGAGTCATGAAACCTCAGTTTCTGCAGAGGTCCATTGCTAACTGGATCAGTGGAAATAAGCAAAAGGCTTATTAGAAGTAGCTTTAACAGGTAATGGGTTTTGATGCCTTTTTCCTTAAGAATTTCTGGTTTGAATCATGCTAGCTTGCTGCCATCACATGTCTAGTTGGTTATGTTGTTCTTAGCTGACAAGTGTCCATACCACAGACTGCTACCACAGTTGGCACCTGTGCGGTGGCAGAGTGGCAATCTCAGCAGAAGCCAAAGACTGAATGTTGATGGAAATGTAATTCTCCTCATTCCTAGACGTGGTATCCACTTCGTGGTTTTGCATACAGTTGGCACAGTGTGGGGAATCTTGCAGTTTCACTGTCTGTGGTGTGAACCTGTATTGAGGATAAATCAAGGCTGTCAGTTCAACAACTTTCCAAGGCTGTCAGTTCAGCAACTTTCCTGAGCACTAAATTCACTTTGAATAGTCAGTCAAAGTGTATTTCTATACAATTTTACAGTTAAACCTGAACCAGCAGTACAATAGTCATGGGTGGTGGATAAAACATGCAACAGTATTATGGTTTTATTCAGCAATGATGGAGTACAGTGAGAGAGCAGTTCAAAGCGCATTCTCTGTTTACAAGATTTCCTGTTTACCCTCTGCTAAGACACATGGCTATTTTATAATAAAATCCTGGTAGAGAAGTAGTTAACATTTTGTTGAGTTGAGTGTTTGGAATTTCATTGTTTGACTAGTGAAACTGCTGTGTGTATTTCCATAGAAGTTAAATGTAATTTAGTGTGCCTGGTGGGGTGGGATTGTCCTTTGTGATCCTGATCTCACACCTAATGGAAATTGGGATTGATGCCATTGCAGTCAATTAGGTTACATGTGTGTAAGATCAGAATCAGTCCTGGTGCATTCAGGGATTGTAAACTCTGGATTAGCAATTTTTAGTTGAAAGTAATCTGAATATTTTCTGTTACCTTTTTTCTTTATTTGTAGATCTTTGAGAGTCTTAGCTGTCATTTTCCTGTAATAGAAGCTCAAAGCATGGAAAGCTGCCAAAAGTGTGTGCAGTTGGAAACAGTCTGTACAGAGGGCATTCTCTTCGGCTCCATTCGTTATCCTCTAGATACGGATACTCATCTTGAGTTTTCACTAACTTTCTCACTGTCCGATTTCATCAGGTAAATCACTGATAAAATGAGACTCTTCTAAAAAAAATCTGGTATTGCAGTCAAAGTAGTAAATAGCACAGGATGGCTCAGGAGGCTGATGATGGGAAATAGAGGCTTCTGTCTGTGGGCTGTTGGTTTTTAATTTAATTCAGACTGGTAATGTTAGTGCAGTATGTCACCACTTGTCAATGACCTATTAATATGTGAAATAAGTGTGTTGGCATTAGTCTGGTTCCTAGAGGCCAGTAATGCCATCACCATTCCCCCCCATCATCGCAACTGGCTCCTTTGTTAGCAGTCTCAGCAGAAAGATGATGGAATGAATAGGCATGGAGAGCGAGCAACCTGCTCATCTTAAATCGTCATCAGTCCAGGTTAAGCATTCATACCAGGGGCAGTGTAAGGAGGCTAGTACAGCAATTGCCTTGCTGTGCCTATTCTTATAAATTGAGGATTTTAGAAATTAGGAATGTCAGTCCAACACTTTCAATGAGCATTAAAGTTCACATCGTTTTCATGGCTTTAAAAATTATATACATAGTGACTTTCACAGGCTTTTCTGCCACCTTCTCTTTTGCTTTTTAAATGTATATTTGAGACAGTGAGAAGTTTTTCTGTTGTAAATTAAGATGGCATGATCTAAATTCCTTGCATTGTCCTACGAGAAAGACTGAGATTAGTAATTCGGGCATGAAACTTTTTCTCCTCTTCTCTCCTCCCTCTTCCCAACTTCTCTCCTTGGAGCTTAGCTTTTTATTTCAAATAATAAAAAAAATACTTGTCTCAAAACCACACTATAAAAGCTTAACTCTGTTTTGTTCTGTACTAACACTTACAATTTTTTTAGTATCTACTACTTATTTGCTACCATGGAAAATATGGTATTTTGTGGTGAGATAAGGCACTTAGTAATGTTGCCACAAAGGTTTTGCATAGTAAAGAATGTTAATACCTCTGACTGCTTAGTTTTGGTGTCTGCCCAAATAATTATCTTTAGAAAGGATTCAATTACCTAGATTATCCAAAATATTGATTTCCACTGAATTATCAATTTAAGAGCTAAGTACAAATCCCTTAAGACTACCTAATGCTTTTTCACTTGGACACATTCACTGGAAATACTAAATACTCTTTTGGAGTGTTGAATGAAATTGATTGGACAGAAAGGAGAATAAAGACGTTGCTTCAGCAGAAAGTAAATTGTAAATCTTTGAAACTGAGTTTATTTTAAATTCAGGGACCCAAATTGTGTGAAAGGACTGACCACTTTTACAGTAAAAACAGCTCACGCTCTTTATTTTTCAGCTCTCAATATTTTCATTCCTGAAGTAGTGGAAGTAACATTTTGTGTTCAAGCAGCCAATTTAAGTTTTTAAATTAGACTTTGTACTTGAGAGTGACATTTATAAGGTTTCCATAGTAAACTCTTTATTTAAGGGGCTTATAACTTGGACATTTAAGTAGCATTATTCTGAAGTTGGTCAGCAATAACGTTTGATTTAAGTTAAATTATTATTTTTTTTAATTTAGAGGGCTGTAAAAAGCAATTCAGGCTCTTCATATGGTGGGGTGGAAGGTTTGTGTTTCCACAAGTGCATTTTTAAAATAGTTTGCTTGCTTTGCTATATAATGGTTTCAGATACAGATTATTTTGGAGATCAGATATATTCAGACTCAGATTTGTGTTTAATTTTTTTTCAGACCAATGAAAATTACCACTGAAGACTTTGGGAGACTGTGGCTGTCCTTTTCTAATGATGTGAAACAAAATCTAAAAATGTCACCTTCTCAGGGATCTCTCTCCATAGCTCTGAACACCCTGAAGCAGAAATTAAAGCTCCATATTGTTGAAATTATTGGTGAGTGAATTAACATTTATATTCTATATCTTGGTGCTGTAAGTGCCGAGGGTTTTGCACAGCACATTGGGGCAGGAACTTATTTACTTGGCACAACCTAAGAGTTTACAGTCTAAGACTCTGATCCTGTAACACCTGTGCACGTGAGTAACTGTACACAGTCATTGCTCCATTGACTTTAGTAAGTCTGCTCAGATGCTGAGGGCTGGTGTGTAAAGGTATAAGTGGGTATAATACAATGGCAAATAATAGAGTGGCATGTTCTCATTTTTATCTTAAGTGCTTCCCGAAATAGATATGTTTTCAGAAGTATTTTGAAAGAGGTGAAGGAATTGGCAGGCAAGCTTTGAAGGTTTGTATGAAATAAGGCATGAAATTGGGAGTGACGGGGGCTAATTAGGAATGATGTTTGGTGAAGCATGGGATGAGCTGCAGGTGTGAGAGAAGAAGAGGGCAGAAAAATGTTACATTTGAAAGCACACTTCAATTTGAACTATATTTAATATGAATTGCAATTATTTCTTTTAGTTTTAAAGTTATTTGTTGTTTGTTTTTAAGGTAATGAGGGAATAGTGGCATGCCGGCTACTTCCATCAGTCCCCTGTCTGCTGCATTGTCGTACTCATGCAAGGACACTGGCACTGTGGTTTAGATCCTCTTGTTCTGCTCTTCCAGACAGTTTACTATATCTGTGTCAAAAGGTGATGGAGGAATCTTAATTGCAACAGTGCCTGCTTTTCTAACATACTGGTGTAAAAATAAATGCATACAAAAGACTTACAGGGTTACACAAATGTTTACCAAAGCAAAATGAGTTAAAACGATACTCAAGAGTGGTTTCATCCCCCCAACTGGCATGTGCCATATGGACTAACGGGAAAGCAGAATGATCCACGATGTGCCTGCAGAAATGTGCTCAGGATTTTACAGTTGCTGACAGATGACCCAATGAAGTATTGCTAACTGTTTAAATGAAATGTATATTTCTTAGTTTATTGTAGATGATTGAAAGTATTTATTTTCTATTACATAATTTTTGTATATAGCAACCCTTTACTCTTAGGAGCAGCTACTTAGTACTTAAATATTATTTTAAGGAAAACATCACTGCTATGAAGTCAGCTTTATACTGTAAAAATGATTCAAATGCTTGTCTGTAACATTACCATTTACTTCATTTATGAGCTTTTTCTAAAGCTGCATTTTAAGCACTATTGGAAACAAGACCCATACTGGCTGTTGCACGTGGTATGTTATCTTACCACAGAGGATAGAAGTGCATGCTTCATAATTGTTTCACTGGCTTTAAATGGTCAGAAGTACTGCACGTGATCTTTTGGTCGTTTACCAGTTAAGGACTTGACTCATGTCATCCAGACAGTCTTTGGAGAATGGGAGAGGTGTCTAAAACTGGGAGTTGCGTGGTGATGGCTAAATTGGATGGAGATCCATTGCTATCCAAGTCATGTGTATGGTATCTGCAGCTCCTTGTCATTTTCATTTTATTCCTCTTCTTCACTTGCCTTTGGTAGAAGTCTGTAACACTCATCAAAAGAACTGTGCATGTCCCAAAGATATTTTTCAAAAGTATAGAAGAGGAAAATATTAAGCCTGGATTTATCATAGCTGTGTGAAAGTATTGAAGGTGCTGTGTATTTAATTTGGACTGAAATATTTGAATTTACTTTGAATTTTCTTTTATAATGCTAATTATCTACAGTATTGATTGGTTATCAGTCTTTGTAAATTACTGCTTATACATGGTTTGGATGTAATTGTGTTGTTATGAATGTTTCTAAAGGCTTGTTTACACAGAGCAGCAATGTGCATTATGGGGGTGTGATTTCTAAGGTGCACTAACTGGTCCAGGTAGACACTGCTGGTACGCACTAAAAGTTCCCAAGTGCGTTTTACTCTAGTGCTGTATATTGAAGTGCATTAGGGAACTTTCAGTGTGCACTGGCAGGGTCTACACCAGGGGTCTCAAAAACATGGCCCATGGGCCAGAGTTATTTCCTGCGGCCTGCTGTGGGTGCCGACTCCACCGGCAGCCAAGCTCTCCTGCCCCCACCCCGAGCATGCTGCATCACCACTCCACCTACTTCCCAGCGCTTCCCACTGTCAAACAACTGTTTGGCAGTGCTTAGGAGTTTCCAGGAAGAAGTGGGGAGGAGCGGGGATGTGGCAGGGCCGGAGTGGGGATTTGGGGAAAGGGTTGGAACAGGGGCAGGGAGGGAGTGGAGTTGGGGCGGGGACTTTGTGGAAGGGGTTGGAATGGGGGTGGGAAGAGGCGGGGCCTTATGGAAGGGGGTGGAGTGAGGGCGGGGCAGGGGACAGAGGGAAGGCTTTAACCAAAGTAATTCTGAAAGTAAATGCGTGCTTTGTCGTTTGAGTGAGATGAATTACTGAGTATTTATATTTTATTAAAGCCCCTCTTCATATTACAGTTTTGAAAAAAGTTAATACATTGACTTTTAATAGCACACTATATTACTCTTCATTTTTTTTTATGTTTGACTATACTTTTGTATCGTTGTATGAAAAGGTTTCAGTGACCTCGGGCCAATGTTCTCATCCTCATGTGGCCCTCATGGTGATTTGAGTTTGAGATCCCTGGTCTACACGGACCAACTAATACACAATGTGTTAGTGAGCTTTCGAAATCACACCCACATAGAGTACATTGCTGCTTTGTGTCGACAAGCCATAAGGCTTAATAGATCTAATCAGCCTAGCATGCATGCTGTGTGTGTGTGAATTGTTTCTCCCCTTCTGTGTCACTACCATTCCCAAAACCCAGCATCTACGCATTGGAATCCTGTGATCTGCATTTATTTAGACAGCAAATGAAACACATCACTGTTTCGCACAACTTTACAGTAATTCACAAGTAGCTATTTTTCTTTAAATTTAGAAGAATTGACATTTGTGCAAACAATGCTTGCAAGTGTGGCATACAAAGGAAATGGAATTCTACATCAATTGGCATTATCCTTATGCTATTTTTTATATTGAAAAGGAAAACCTTAGGAGATATCTTAATATTCTCAGTTTTCATCTGGCAAACATCAGTGTTTAAGGAAAGAAAAGTATTAATTATTTTTATTTTGCGTCATTTTGTTAAATGTTCATAAAATCATATAAAGAATGTAATTTTGATACACCAGTGATCACAAAGATTGTTTTAATAACTTCTTTTAGAGATTAAGCCAATTGTCTTATATTACCACAGGTACTATGACATAAGAAAAGATCTTTTGGTCACTGCTATTACAAAACCCTCTAATTGAGGGATTTATTAAAATGCACTAAGTCTGTAAATATATTAAACATTCTGCATGCATTAAATAATGTATATTTAATGCTCTGGGACAATTTGTATGAATGAAAGCTTATTTTAATTTCCCTGCTAGTACAGAATGTAAATCAAGTTGGGTGCTATAATTGGATTTCAGCGTATTATAAAAAATTACAGAAATATCTGTTCTAGCCTATGCATTTTTCACCATTTCTTTAATGGGATGTTAAGTCTCTCCTGATATGAAACAAACCAGTAATGCCTTCTGTTTACTTGTAGGTGTGATGCTCCTCTTTATCCTTAATTTTTTCCACCTTGGTTTGTTTAACGTAACCATATAGTTAATGCACTTTGAGCTGTAAATATGCAGATTCTGAGAAAACAATCAAGGGTCTTATGTTGCTGTAACATACAGGGGTTTGCTCGCTTGTACCCGAGGTACAGCCTTTATTTTTAGATCGTCCACCAAAACTATTGTGTTAATCTCTTTGTGTTTACACTTTTCTGTAATTTAATAATGTGCATCTAATAAAATCTCCAGCCCAGTTTTACAGCTGTTTTAACTGGGCATGTGTCTTTGGTGCTGTGTACCTTAACAGTGGTACTATTAGAATAATGGCATTTAATATTATTGAAGAATTGTTCCCCAACATAGATGATTTGTAATTTAATGGCTGCAGGTCCAGACTCCCACTGCCAAGAGATTAAATAAAAGACAGAAAAATGCTTTGTCTATACTGGCAAGCATTGTGTACATAAAACTTAAATGAGATGTGTTAGCAAGCAGGGACAGACGTGCCTGTTTTTTGTTGAATGACAGAGTACTAGCCCCCATTTCGATTATTGTTTCTCAGTGCAACAAAATAGTGACAAAGAATGTAACATATGTATTTCACTAAGTTTGCTCACCGTGGCAATTAGTAATGACACGTATTCTAGCTTCAGGTATACGAAGGGTAGATGTCACACTATCTTTGAGTCTATTATTTCAGCAGCATTTTGTATCCCATGGCTTCTTCATATTCTTTTTGGAATTGAGCCAGATTATGAACTCGGCACCACAGGAAAACTGTGTGGTTGAGCATGCTTTCATCATTCCTAGAGTTGATTAGTGCAATGGTGTTATTGCCTACAAAAATCCTTGACAATTCTTAGGCTACTGGTATGCTGTGTTCACAGCCTGTCTTGTGGATATGTATCCTTGTACTCCCCTGTCTACCTCTCTTTAGGGAAGGGGCTGTCTGCTTTGAGCATGCTGTTCATATGGTACATTGCTGCTAGAGTTTGGAGCAGGAACTGGGAATTCTGGGGCTCCAAATCTAGCCCTGAATGCATCTGTTCTGGAGCAAGTCAGTTGCACCTCTCTGCATCAATTTCCTGATCTGTAAAATGGAGGGTGGTGGTGAGATGGGCATAGCTGGTTTATTTAGGTAATTCTACAACAATTTATATTATCCTTACTCTAATCTTTATAATGAAAACCTTTTAAGAGGTATTGCAGGCTTCTCAGTTCTCACCTGGCAACCACATCAGTGCTGTCGGGGAAAATAATTACTGTTCTTATTTTATTTTGTCTTTTGTATAGCACTTAAAAGAGGCTCTACAAAATAATATAAGAATTATATAATTCCAGTTTTAAATTGCCCACCTTTGTTACTCATGTTTTGTACTGATTAATTCACTATGGTCCCAGCTCTGAGATACGGAGACCTGAGCCTTTATAAGACAAAGGAAATTTTGCCTTACCAGTTAAAGTTCTCTACTTTTAAAAGGATGTAGACATTAATCTGTTCTACCCTCTGATTTTTTTTTAATTAGGTAGTGCAAACCACAGACATCGTTCAGTCTCTATATTAAATGTCTGATTCTTCTTCAAGGGCTTCTGTGTATTCCCATGTATGAAAGCCAGCCTCTAGAATTGAGGTATAGAACTATATAAAAAAGCAGTGTCCACTGGGGGGTGCCAGGAGTGTCTCTGTTAAGATGATGTAATCACTTCTGTATAAGGGAGCGCACCTCTTTCTTTTGCCTCCAATGCAGAGAGCTAAACGGAACTGTCTCTCATGTCTGCAGGCTAATTAGCTAGCCTTAGAAATACTTGTTTTGGTAAGGTGGTGCTACAATCCATTTCTGCCTAGAACACCTCACCCACTGTCCTCTTCAGGGCCCGCTTGCTAATCTCCCACAAGTGGGAATTCCCTGAGGCTTACGAGTAACTGTTCCTCAAAAATTGCCTCTGTGCCTTCAAACTACCCACCTGCCTTCTTTTGTGCCTCATAGTGGTTTGTGTTTCAGGACTCTGAGGGCTAGGGAGAAGGAACTGATGTGTGGGAGGAGTGTATTCCCACATTTCGATTGAGCAGATGACTTTATCCAAGTACAAGGGCATTCCTGCACTCCCAGCAGATACAGCATTTTTACATAGTTCTGCAGCTCAATGCTGAAGGTGCTGTGCTGAAGAACAGCAGTTACTAGTAAGTAACCCCTATTTTTAAAAATGTCTTTGGTGTTTTAGCAATATCCTAGAGTTACTGCAAGTTTAGAATTTATGGGCAATTCTGTGACAGAACAGTCTGTCCTGTGCTTAATAATCTGATAGACAATTCTGAAGCTGCCACCATGCCCTGTGGAAGGAAGGAAACCACATTGTGAGGACAGACAGAAGATAAAATAATTGTAAGGTGAAATTCATCTCTCTCTGATTGGGCACAGGATTTCCCTTTATTTCTGCTAATTCCCCTTTCTTCCCACCTGTCACTCTCCCAAAACTAAGATTTGCAGTCAGTGGGATGCATCTGGGACCCATCCATCTTCTTTCTTGTGTCCATGAAGAGAGCATTAATGCAGCTATAAAGCTACTGCAGGCTGTGTAGTCTCATGTGAAGGCAAAGCAAGAGAAAGATAGATGGCATTAGAGTGTACAGGATAGGAGAATCATTCCCATGAACTCTCTTCCTCGGATCAGTTCTGTAACTCCCTGCTGCACACATTTGTGTTGTCAGCTTCTGTGAGTTAAAACCAGGGGGCAGGAGACGTGTGTCAAACTGAGGCCTAATTATGTGTTAACCACCATTTACAAGACTAGCCATATTCTAATGTGGCTGTATTTAAAGCTCACACACTTATACACTGTACTTTTTCTTGTGTGATTCTGCATTTATGTGCACAACTGCATTTGACATTTTCCTTGTAGTTTATTGGTTTATTAGTTTGCATAGTACAAATTATTTCTAAAAATCCCACAAGCTACGTGCAGGGTTTACTCTTCCTAAGAATCTACTGGAACACAGATTCATAAGGATGAATAGATCTGATTGAGACTTTACCTGGAGGTCAGGAATTGCTACCATGACTTAATTTAAAATTGGCAAATTTTTCTGTGTCTTATAACTTGTGTAAAACCCCAGTGTTGTGTCTGCATTTAGCACTTATGCTTGAAGAATTGTCACAGGCTTGCTTTTACAGCTACATTGGAGTTAGAGAAAATGTAATTATTGAAGTGTAGGATTTTAACTCCTAGTCTGACTGAACCAGGATGACACAACTTCCTTTTGGTGTTTTATTGTGAACTAAGGGCTCTTTGACATTTTTTGCAGGTTGCTACAGAAACAAAGACACTGAAATCTTTGCAAATTGGATTTTATATACAGTGTACATCAGAGGGCATTGAATAATACTTTAATTGTCCCAGGTAAATAGAACTGAGTTAGAGATGGGAGAAGTTGAATGGTTTTCTAAAGAGGACAGATATTTTACAATGTTTAGCAAAGTCAATGGTTATTTTCCATCTGACATTCATAATTAACCAGTTCTTCCAAAGTGCCCATGTTGTAATGGAGTTAAAGAAAAAGATAGCCAGACCTCACAAGAGCATTCTAAGGCCAGATCTACATCAGTAGAGTTACATCATTTGGGGATATGAAAAATCCACACCGTTCAGCAATGCAGTTATACTGACCTAACGCCAATGTAAACAGCACTACATTGGTGGGGAGGGCTTCTCCCGTCGACATAGCTACCACCTCTCATGGAGGTGGATTAACTATGCCAGTGGGAGAAGGTCTCCCGTTGGCCTAATAGTGTCTTCACGGAAGTGCTACGGTGGTGCAGCTGCAGTGTTTTAAGTGTAGGCCTGCCCTAAAACGTCTATTTTTGTGTACTTGCCACTATGTAGTAATTCATCCTTTTTTGGTGCTGATAGTTGCTACTTTGAAAGAGAAGAGGCTGTTGGGGGAAAAAACCTGTTCCTTCTGTCTGCATTTGCAGTACTGCTTTTGCTCTCACAATCCACATTTTATCTTTTTTAGTTGTCATTTTTTTCTCAGATATTCTGAAAATATTTTCAACGGGACATCTAAATAGGAACATCCATCATATCTATTGTATTTCTAAATATGAATTAAAACTGCCCTATTGCAATCACATTATATCCCTTCCCATAAGTCTCTATTCCTGCTCATCCCATAATTTGGGCAGGAGCAGAGACTTGTTCTGTTTAATGGACAGTAGTCATTTTGATGGTTGTATATAGCATCCAGATATTACGTTGCTGCTTTCCTTGAAAATGTTTGACACACCATTTTTAGACCTCTTTTTGGCCTAAAACAACTTGACAGTCCTTTCTCAGTGTATGTGTGTGTCTCTCTCTTTTTGACACTGTTACTTATCTGACATTCTACATAGGGACGGGGAAATAAACCTACTTCTACCATCTATTGTAAGACTTTCTTTTGCAATGTTATTGCTGAAATGAGGCTATTGTAGTGTAGCTTCCAACTCCATTTTGAATCCATCACTTATACACTATTCTACAACATATTTGCAATAAGTAAGACAGCATATACTCAGTACTATTTATTGTGCTTCATATTGTTTAATAAATAGACTGCATAATGAATGCCACTAGCCATCTTCTCAGGATGTATTGAATCATACTTATATTCTTTAATATTACTATTACATACTTAAAAATATTTGACACAAGTTAATTTAAACAAGAATGAAGTGAAGAATATGGTGTTTAATCTTCTGCCTTCTATACCAGGCTGAAAGTGGTTTATTATAAGCAGGGCTGGTAAATGGTGTGTGACACTTCTTTTTAGTTGCTTATAACTTTGCCAAACTTCAATCATCTGGGCTGAAATTTTCCGTGCTGAGTCTGCCTAAGGCTGAAAGCTTTGGAAAATTTCAGCCAAAATGATTCAGATGTTTGAGAATGAGACTAGGGAAAAATTCTGTGTTTTGTCCATGTTAAAAAAAATTCTGGCAATCCTTTTCTTTGAAATGCTCTAGTCCACCTTAGTGTTGGAGCAGGGACTTGAAATTTGTCAGGGAGCCTGAGTTTGTGTCAGGGATGTGCCTTTTGACACCCCTCCCCCAAAAGCCCAAATTTGGCTTGGAAATATTGCAGTTTGCACATGCCTCTTGGATTTTAGCAGCTAAATTTCCCAAAGATTCTGTCTGCACTGAGCATACTCAAGCCTGGAACTGAGCAGGACTTTCCCTGCAATTGCAGTTCTGAGCTACTTTCAGCTGCAATTAAACTGAGAGCATATCACCTGATGGGCCTAAGGAGTGCGGAGGAGGAAGAGGTCTGCTGTGAATGTGGAGGGGATGAGAGTCAGAACTTTGAGTGGTTTCAGAGTAGCAGCTTTGAGTGGGGAGGGAGAAATGGAAACCGAAACTGGGACTGGAGACAGGCATGGAGGGGGAGAGGAAAACTAGGTGTTGGGGTAAAGGGGAAACTCGGAGCTGGGGGGGGACTGGGTCTGTCTGGGCAAGGAGAATGGGAGCTGGGGAGGGAAGTGTGTAGGGTGAGGAGACTGGGAGTTAGAGAGTGGAGGGAAAACTGAGGTCAGATGAGTCAAAGGGGAGACTGGGAAGGAGAAGGACACGGGGAAGGGGGAGGGGACACAGGGCTGGAGTGTGTGGGGAGAATTTGAACAAGAAGCTGGGGGTGGGACACTGAGATTGGACAAGGAGCCTGGGGAGGGAGATTGGTACTCAGTCAGTGGACACAGGAAATGGGAGAATGAGGGGCACTGGAGGCTGAGGTGGGGGGGATGAGAGAGATTGGCCAAGGAGCCCGGAGGCAACTGGGACTGGCTGGGTAAAGAGACTGGGTATGGATACTAGGGCTGGGGGAAGACTGGGACGGTAAGTCCAGAAAGATGTGTGGAAAGGCACCTCCTCAGCTTTGGCTCAGCGCTTCCCCGTCTGGCCTGGGTAAGTCAGCCCCTGACTTTGGATGGTGTTTATTCTCCCTGCTCATGCCATGCCTAGGCCTGATGGGATGTGCCAGAGGGGAGTCAGCTCTTCCACACCCACGCTATTAAAGAGCAATGGTGTTTTAAAATCCTGTACAAAGGCTGTTGGCTCACACTGGGTTTTCCCTAAAGATGTCAACATTTTAGGTAGAATTTTGGGGAACGTGCAAGAGCTCCGGGGAAGTGTGGGGAAGACAGCACAAGTGTCAGGGCCTAGGCAATTGTACTGCAGGGTCCTCACTGCAAAGAGGGGTGTCAGCCATAAGATCTGCTTGTGGAATGCAAGCCTAGAAGCCAGGAACAGAGCCTAAACTCTGCCTAGCTGCCGTGCTTTGAAGCCACTGAATGATCACAGAACTTGAATGATGAAGCTGCTTTCAATCTCTCTGCTCACCATTGACTGTATATGCAGCACAAAGGAGACACATGTAAATGGTCCAGAAGTTAGAGTGTAAGAGAATGGCCTCAAAGTAAACCAAACCACCTTAATATTTAATTTAAGGAAACATCTTGCCTCTTCGTGGAATTCGGTTCACTTCATTTTAGAATGATCCACAATTATTGTAATAATTTTACATTGCAGTGGTAGCCTTTCTAAGATCAACATGGAATCGTCATCAAAACGGGGGTTTAATATTATACAGGATTGTGATCGTTTGACTGAACTGAAAAGAAATAAAACCTGTATCCTTAAAAAAAAAAAAAAAAAAAAAATCAGCTAGCTCTGTACACAGGGGACTCTGCATTTGGATCCCCTCACAGCAGCATGGCAATTCTCCAGCAGGAGGAGCCAGACCACCTCTGTGATAAATGCTCCTTTCACAGGGATGTTGTGAAAATAAATTCATGAATGTTCGTGAAGCATTCAGAAACAATAGAGTGCCACAGAAACCCCCCTGAGGAAACGAACACTTCTGCCCACAGAACAGTATTTGAATAGAATACAGCAGCTAAGGCTTGTGGCCACACTGAATGATGGGGAGAAAACAAAATATTGAATAGCTGCTCATTATGTGAGCACTGTTCAGCCTGTGCATTGAATGAGGCAGGGGTCCTGTGGGGGGAAAAATAGTATGTGATCATATAATTAGTCTATCCTAATTCATATGTACAATGGGGCCAAATTAAGGTTGTGCAGACAGCCTTAATTCTGGCATTTCCTCACTTTTGGCTTTGGAACCCTAATAATGTTCTTTTAATGTAGTTTTTCAATGTATTTTACATTTACTGAGTGCTAAATTCCTATGCATGGTAGCATTGGTTGCAATTGCATAGACACTTAAAGCTGATGACCTCTTATGATTTAATAATCATTGTTTGATCTAAAGTAGCAACTGATACTAAAAGTTCTGAATTCACCTATGAACTTCATTTGATAATTATACAGGTGATGGGTTTGTTCACACCACACTTGCCCTGAATGGTTAATACAGACTGAGAAGGGGGCTAATTAACCTCACAGACCACAGCTGAAGGCAATCAGGGGGCCAATTAATCCACTGAGTGAGGGAGCCCAGCTGTGGAGGAACTAGCTGGGCTGGGTTTGTAAGGACAGGAAATTGGAAGCAGAGGGAAAGTTTGCAGTGACCCTTTGTGAGAAGGCAGGAGTGTTTGGAAGCTGCAGAGGCAGGTAGCTCACAGTTACTCCCATAGGTGCGGGAAGTAGGAGTGAAAAGGTGCTGGCTGCCAGCCCCGTGTGCCTGGGGTCCCAGCCTCAGTTCGGGAGGTAAGGGGGCTGGTTTTCAGCACCCCCACTATTAAAAATGTTCCAGCACCACTGGTTGTTCCCTGGATGGGAGGAAGGGGTTGAGAGGTTGGCAAACTCCTTTTTTCTGGCATTCCCCCCTCTCAGAAAGGGCTCAGGGAAAGGCAGGAGGGAACAGACCTTGACTGCTGACTAGAGGGTCCCTGAGCCAGAACCTGGAGTAAAGGGCGGGCCTGGGTTCCCCTTCCAGCCACTGTGGGAGTGGCACCAAGGGGTAGTGAATGGGAAGACTGCCTGAGAATGCTAGTGTGGAGAGAGACTTTGAAAGACTTTGATACCCCGAAAGGGGAAAACATATTTAGTGACCTGGCCAGAGGGCCGAGTCAAGAAGAGGCAGCTCCCGGAGCGAGAGAGAGGTTACGGTCCGAGAGAGAAGGATGGAGAGACGGCATGCAACTGTGGGAAGGGGCATTGCCCGCAAGGCTAATTCCCAGAACGGTCAGGAGGAGACACCATCCTAGTGGTGAGTAGAGCACCCCATCACAAGGTAGCAAAATGAAAACTAAAGGAAACCAAAAATACAGTAATCACAAATCATTTAATCCACAAACATTACGATAATACATCATATACTTTATGGGTGACTTGAACATTGCCAATATTATTACATACCAAGCCACCAGTATAAAAGTAAACAATGAATATACAGGATATACAAGTATCAGAAATACTTGAAAACATTTTTTCCTCCACCTTAAGGCTACTGAAATTTATAAATAAAATGACAGACATTTGGCTGTTTTCTAAAATACCAGACTCTGAATACTGATATATGCAAGACATAAAAAGAAACCACATACAGAGTATCGTTTTTCTTTCAACTGTCTTCGTTCTTGAATGGTAGCTTTATTCTGGCTTTGTTTTTTTTTTTTTTTTAAATCTTACATGCACTTAGCTTGCTCCAAAACAAAATAAAAACACCCTCTGAAATTTGATATGCTCTGTGCACTAGGATTTGTGTTGGATGTATTATATACTCTCAAAAAAACCCCACCCCCCATCAGTTTGATAAGTAGTGCTTTGGGGCAGATTTTGGCCAATATTGTATGTAAATGTAGATTATTAAATATGGTTCTGGTGAATGCCTACGTTTTTACCACTTAAGGCAAATCTTGCAAGTCCTTCTGCCCAGATTTTATCTTTGTATTATGCCACAGAAGGGCAGTCCACATAAGTTGCTATTGAACAGAAGCTTCATGGATTCAAGGGAAATGGGTGGAAAATCGCTCCAACACAAGCGGCCTACGGTGCTGCCATTTTAAATGGCTTTTTTTCCTGTGCATTTGAAATACACTCTTCGAAGATGAGATGAAAAGAACACTTCTGATTGTACATGTGCAACTGTACCCCTTTAGTATCAGAATCAGGTAGCTGGGTATCCAGCTGTCTAAGGACAATTGCACTATATAAAGGAAACATGGGATTGTTGTTGCAATGCATATGACATATTTGTTTTGTGGGGGAGAAAAGACAGAAGTACAAGAAAATGTTCTGAAGTCTGTGTTACTATAGTATTTTGAATAATGTTTACATGTGAAAACAACTCTCTGTAATACTGATGAGATCAGTGATCTGCTCTGTAAGCATTGCTTAGGTAACGAAATAGCTTTCAAATGCATAATTTTTCATGAGTTTTAAAAATATGCATCTAATTATTGTAATACACCCTTTGGCACAGTATTTGACATCTGTGTTGTCTTCAAGGTTATCTGTCACTCGCATGTCATCTAAAAGGAGGTACTGTCTCAAACCGAAGTATCTTTAGAGCTGTGGGAGTGGATGAACACAATGGTGGGGGCAGAGTTTTAAATGTACTATAAATCTGCTGTATCTGTAAGTCAAGGGTGTTGCTATAAAATTCACAGAATTTCAAAACGGGGAAAGGTTAGTGCCTCAAGACACAATAACATTTGATGCTGCTGTAGATTTTCTTTTTAGTGGGTTCCCTCCTAAGTACCATGTTTTAAGGGCCAGATCTTGACCTGCAGCATGCACTTGTCCAGGGAAGTACGGGAATATAAGATGCCTCTTACTCTGCGCAAATTATTCATATCAAAAGGCCATGGCATGGGACAGGGAGCAGCCTCTGTGGCTCCAACCTGACACCAACGTATCTGTGCTGCAATCAAGGCAGCACAGATGGGGAAATGAACTCTGCCAGCTTTAGCTGGTGGGACTTGACGACTCCATGATCTAGCCCTGTGTAACTTAATAGATATTTTGGCTAACTGTACATACCTGCTGTTGGCGGATATGTTATTGCACTTAGTGATAGAGGTCTATGTCCGCTAGTTATAAGGAGCTAAAATGCTTGACCTATAGAAAATGCTGATTTGCCAAACCAAAGTTTTCACAGAACAGGGTCAAGTTCAATGAATTTCCCACCTTGAAAAAATGTTGAGAAAAATATTTGAAGTGAAAAATTCTGATTTAGCTGGCTCAAAACTACTTTTTGTTTTGAAATTTAAGTTAATGAGCCTCAAAAAGGCTTTTATTTAAATTAAAAAAAAAAAGTCAAAATTACTGAAATGAAACATTTGGATTGACTCAAAACAAAAATCCGCTCTCCCCTCCTCCCCCCTGGGATGTTTTTGAAATTTGACTTTTTGCCCTGATTTGAGTTGGGAAAATATCTTGAGTTGGGAACTCTCAAATATACGCAGTACAAGAAAGCTCTTTCTCACCCACCTATGTTGAGTAGACCAACTTGTTTTCTTAGAGTGACCACTTGCTTCTAGGAGGCCTTGAGGTACAAAAATGTCCTATCATAGAGCCTACTCTTTCTGTCGTGCTCTGCTCTATTGCAGATAGTGCCTATAGATTAATGGGTGCAATGTAAAGGTTGAAATTAATTAATAATTTCACTTTTGGAGATTTTAGCACAACAAAGTTGGCTTTCAGATGAATTGGTAATGCATTTTCCCTCTGCCTCTAAAAGAGAAAAGTCACCTCAGTTCAATAACGAGCAATATAATTCTCTGCCAACATTTCGTTTGGTACCAGGATTTCCTCAGTCTTAGGGCCTGGCTACACTTGCAGATGTAGGGCGCTGTGAGTTAAACCAGCCCTCGGAGAGTGCAGTAGGGAAAGCGCTGCAATGTGTCCACACTGTCAGATTCAAGCACACTGGCGTAGCCACAAAGAGAGTGCGTTTTTGGGGGCTGAGAGCGTGTCAGCATGCTGTCTTGTAAGTTCAGACAGCAGCAGACCCCTCTCCCCCTGCCGCCCCCCCCAGCAAGCAACATTCCACACTAATGGTTGCTTTGTCCCGGAGCAGATAAGCAGCCGGCTGTCAGAAACAGAGCTTTGAAAGGGCATATCCACATTCCTGCAGCCGGTTCCAAAACAATGACAAGAGTGGCCACTTGACCTAAGGAGATTATGGGACGTTTCCAGAGGCTGATCAGAGTGCAGTAATGCAACACCTCGTTCACACTGATGCTGGGGCATTTCAGCCGAGGCGCAGCAAGTGTTATGCTTCTCGTGGAGGTGGATTACCAGGAGCGCTCCAGCTGCAGAGTCCAGGTGCTCTAATGCCTTGCCAGTGTGGATGGGTCGTGAGTTAGGGCGCCAGGGGCTGCTTTAATGCGCTCTAACTTGCAAGTGTATCCAAGCCCTTAGTTTCCTAATAGCAATGCTAAACTCTTGTATAGTGTGGGGGTTTTTATCCAATAATTTCAGAGCAATTTATAAAGGGGAAATTTTACGGGTTGCGACACAGAGAAGCTAAGTGACATGTCTGTAATCTTTGACATCAGTGGCAGAGCTTGAGTTGGTAGTTTTAAGCACTAGACCGTGCTGTTTTCTTTTGTGATGCTCTGGACTAGGGATTATAAAATCTGGATTTTCGCCAGGACAGTTGTGCTGTTGCAACCACTGTAACTTTTCTGCAAGTTCTTTAGTTCATCCTTGTTCTGTAATAGGTGTTGGTGTGTTTGTTCGGGTGGCTTTTTTTAATGTGTATCAGCATAAGATGCAATAGGTTCTTGGTGTTGCTCATAACTTTCCCATGTTAACAAGCCCTAGTTATAGAGCTGTGTATGTTCTCTACTTAAATGGCACTGTGAAAATACCAGCTTGGGCCCCCCTGTTTGCCACACTTCACTATTTGACTATAAACACAATTAATTAAGAATGGACATACACTAAGCCAAGGCTGAAAAGTTGTTCCATACATTGAATATTGTCTTTTGAGAGCTTTTGCTATTTGCAGGTGGAAATGGTGTTTCAGTGAAGAAGGAAGGGACAGATGATGGCTTCATTGATCCAATAATATCACTATTCCTGTCAGGTGTTCCGCTCTTTATATCATGGTGTTCTTCAGCAGGAAATCTATGCTCTGGAAGTGAAAACAGTAATTGCAGAGGAAGTAGCATGGCCCTCTAATCTAAGCCTATTTGATGTCACGGTGTGGGACCCATGTTATTATTGAAGCCAATGTTGTACTTCATTATTTAGTTTCTTCATTATGTTTGACTTTAGAGTCACTAAGCTATTTTTCAGAATCAAAATAAAAGTTTCTCACTTACAGTCTCAGATGCAAAGCAAAAATCTCCAGTGGGAACATGCTTCTTAAAGAAGCTTCTCTACTCGTCTCACTTCTCCCCCTTTTATAAAGTTCTGCTCTCCAGTATGGTCTTAACCACCTGCAAAATTGGAGGTGTGCTCTCATATCGGTTCCTGACACTATTGAAAGGAGAGAACTTGTGCCCATAAGAACTGCATTTTCCATCTAAGCCTTGGAGATCTTTTTTAGGAATAATAAAAACATATACAAGAACAGTTTGGGGGTCAATTCCATGCAACACCCTTTCTGCCTTTTCCCTTCTATCTTTGACGCTGCCACATGTCTTGCGTTTAGGTTCATTTTCACACAATAAGACCCCAACACAGATACTGAGGTTAGGATGTGCTGTGATCTTGTTCTGAATAATAAGCATCAGCAGCCCCATTGACTCCCCTCCTTTGAAAAGGCTGAAATCCCTGTGAACTGCGAATTACAATTTGTAGCTTTCTGGTTTGGTTTTTTGTTCATAATAAGCCAAGTGAGCACATGCTGGTTTCTGATGAAGTCCATGTAATAGGGGGATGGTAGGAAGGAAGCTCACAAGCTTTGCCACAACTCACCAAGTATGGCCAGTTTGCTGCAGCTCTAGGAATGAGTTTTTGTGTTTTGTAAAAGGCAAAGTTTCAAAGGACTTTCTCATCAAGTAGTTTGTTGATTCCATCACAGATCTTTTTGAGGTACGGTCGGCAATCCCCATCAAGGCTATACAGGGCAGTGAGGAATTCCACATCCGCAAAGTGATGGAAGACATGGTTGATACGCCCGTGGGACCTGGGTGTCAGATGTCGCTCTACCAGTTCATGCAGCAGGTCTTTACATTCATTCAGAAGTTCTGAGAGAACATTTCTATCAAAGGTGTATTCTACCTCGTAAAAACTGACAATTGTCATGGCTGTCTGATTCAGCTTCTTTCTGAATTTGTCTACGATTTCCAGCTCCTCTTGGTTGAATTGATTGTTTCGGTAGAGGATCCCAATTTTTATTGCCACTTTAATCAAGTCCTTCATAATTTTGTGAGCTTCCTTCTTGTTCCTAGTATGTTCTCGAGTGACTTTATATAACTCATCAAATATTTCGCTGCTTGTGTCGTCGATGAGCATGTTAGCCATAGTTTTGGTAGCCATTTTACTCAGGAGCTTTTTCTGTGCTTGCAGCGCAAGGTTCTTTGAACTGAAACAATCGAGACCTATTGCAGAGGAGAAAAAAAAAAAAAAGCAAAAGTTAATTGCACTTCGGAAATACTTTGCATATAGTGGCAAATTAACAGCATGTAATACAGCCTGTTGTTTGTTAGCCACACTAATAAGATGCCTATGGTTGACACGTTCAGTGAATACTTCAGGGATAGGTGCATTAGAAATGCAAGCATAGGTCATGTCTTCAATATTGTTTTTCCATCAGTCCTCAAAGCCTCAGCAGCTCAAGTGTCAATATCCCAGTTTTTGATTCCTAAAATCGGGGGCGGGGAGGGAAGGGGGCAGTTGTAGATGGTAGGAATTGAATATTCAAGATATACATTGACTTTATTACTTTGTCCTTTGCAAACACTAAAACTCCATGCATATTCTTGGTTTTAAAACAGACAAAGCTTTAAAATTAAAGCTTGCTCACCTGAAAGCTTTTGTTGAGACAATGTGCACAGAAATGTAAATTACCTGTCAAAGACACTCTAAGATTAAATGTGGTTGAGAAATACAAGGTCCATGAAGAATTATACATCTGGTCACTGGGTGTCACTATTGCTCCATGCTTGAAATGATTAGGCAGCATCTTTAGAAGAGCTGACTGCACATATCCATAAACATAAATTTATGTCTTTAATCTATAATAATGGTGCCTTTTTGGCTTTCGTTGCCAATGTGCCTAATATGAGAAACTGACTTTTACAGAGTAATTTGTATTTGAGCTTTTGTAGGAATTTCTCCTGCAGAACAAAAATATCTGAGCAGTTTTTTACATAACCATCATCATCAAACCTGGCTATCTTGGATTTTACAGTCGCTTGTAGAGGCCTCAAGGAGATTGGGGTCCCATTCTGCTAGGCACTGCGCCAACACATAGAAACTGTCCCCATCCCCAAGAGTGTAAAATCTAAATGAATAAGATAGACCAAAAGTGAGGGGAGTGAAGCTACAGTGAACTGTTAGCCTGAAGCAGGAATAGGGGAGATAACACAGAAAACTGGACAGCTAATGTTTCTCTCTCTAGCAGCACCCCTGGAGTCCATAGGATTCTGAGACTCCAGTAGAATAGTACCTGTGGAACAGTTCCATGGCCACGGAAGAGGGATTCCTTCCACACAAGCTGGATCCTCACTTATCTGAACTTTGGATGTCCCTAAGGACAGGATTTGACTCTAAATTAACAGACAGACTTTTCACAAGCGGAATGCTACTGTCACTGGTGCAGAAACAAAGCTCTAATGTGACTCTTGGTCACTTTGTGGAGTGGAAAGGATAAATTAGCTCCCCCTAACGAAGATGAGATATCAAGCAGAACATGGTAATACATTTTTTTAAAAGGGAAACAGTGGTGAAACGAGGCTTCTTTTTCATCTCTCTCACAAGTCAGTAGCTCAGCAGTCAAGGTATTATTGCAACATTCACCATGGTGTGCGGTACATTGGAAAGTGCTGTTTTGAGAGGTTGGGACTAAGTACTGTGTTTTTGGTAGCACCTAGCGAGCATGTGCTAAATGCTGAACAAACTCAAAAGAAGGCCTAGTCCTCGCCCTGGAGAATCTACAGAGAAACAACTCTCATTTGCTGAGACTAGTCTTGAATCTATGTACGTTTGCAGCAATACCTACAAAGTGAATACCCAGACCTCTTCCCCTTCTGCCCCACCTTGGGCTCATTCACTTTCCTGCTCTAGCAAATGTAAGGGCAGGTAGCGCCCCATAAACCCCAATGCACAAGCTGTAGTGTTTCCAACATATATGGTTGATAGGGAACTTTATTGGAACACTATCTGCCTTGAGTCAATAACAGTATCTAGCAGCTGTAACTGGATAGATTCTCAGAGGCTGCTGCCCTTTAGGGAGACTAGGCTGACCTCTGAAGACCTATTCCAGTGCTGGAGAAAGGCCCAAAGGAGAGGAATAACCATAGAATTTCTCCAATAATGCGGCTGAAGGCCGCTCTACATTACATTATCTGTCAGTAGTTCCCGGGGTAACCCGAGCCATAGAAGTGGTAAAGGAGCTTCTACAAGTGGTGCCAATAAAGGAGGGCTGGCTGGCGGGGGTTGCACTTGCTCAAAGTCCCATAGTTCTGTGGAGCTGGGGGACTGTGTCCTGACCACTTTTGAGCAGTGGCCCCGGACTAAATCAGTGTGGTGGCTGCTGCTGGAACGGTCTGGAGCATTGCTCTGGCAGTGTGGTCACAACATCACTGGCACGTGACCTGGCCACCCCTCCGTATGGCTGGAAAGACAGCTCAGCCACATTTCAGTGAGTGGGATTGTGACCTGGTGCATGGCCTTGCAACGCTGCTCAAATTTCGCCTGGCCACCCGCCTGTCCATATGGAAGGTCAGCTGGGTCAAACAGTGTTGCGATCTGGTGCACAGGGAGTGCAGGGGAGTTCTTTCAGAACTCAATTCCTGGCAGCACCCACTCATGTGCTGTGTGGGTCAGAGAGGGGGAGACTCCCTAGCTGAAAGAGACCTGGGGTTCCTGTAGGAGGAGACAAGCGGGAATTGGAATTTGCTCCTCCCCACCTCTAAGAAATATCTGAATTGGCACAGCTGGCTGCTACATCAGCACTACAGTGCTGGAGGATCTCTTTTGCATTGGAATGATCCTCCTGAGACTGGCTATCCCAGTTTTTGGGTGCTCACATGGATTGAGTGATGTAAAGCTGCTGAATGCCGCTGAAGATTGGCACTTTCATGTCTCAGATATTTTGAGTCTCATTATTTTGGATTCTTACTAAAATAGATTGAGAACATGCTTCTGAGATTACAGTGAATTAGAACAAGTTATTTTCCAGAAGAACTGTTTCACTACCCCATATATCTGATACCAAAACATATGAAATACTTTTCTGACTATTCCAAAATTGGCCGTTCAGTTACTTTTGCTCTTTTTTACTAGTTTAAAAAATAGAAGATGTTGAAGCTTTGATGTTCAAGCATTATATTTCTTTGCTGGTTGCCTACTACAGCTGTGTAATTAACCAGGGCTTGGTGTGTGTGTGTTTGCAGGGTGTGTGTTTCAAAATGCAAATTGAGTGACATTTTGAATTAAATGTGACATGAATTAGTGCAAACAGCTCTTAATCTGATAACTACTGAATTAAGGGTGGTATTTTAAAAAGGATTATTCCACACAGCTATTGCTAAAATTCCTAGTCTTAAACAGTCTCTTTTTACCAATCAGGGAAACATTTTAGAAAGGAATAATAGGAAACAATGGTTAGCACTGGTAAAACGTACATTTCAGCTATTCAGATTACTTCATCCATGATGAAGTATTCTGATAGCCTTTCTCCTCTGTATCTAAACATACAAGCCCATTATCTTAGATCTGGCCTTCATTGAGACTCGATCCAATTCCTCTTAAAGGTAATGGGAGTTGGACTGGGTGGGCCCTCGTTTGCAAAGAATCAGTTTTGCAATGTTGGTGCACCCTGTTTTGTGCACACAAGCCTCTGTGTGTGTGTAAATTACGGTTTTAGGGAGTCTGCTTCATGATGAGTATATATATACACAAGCTGCACATACCGTCTGTAACTGCAGTCAGTTGCACACATTAAAACAAGCGTTCAATATTAGAGGCTAGATGAAGGCTGGCTGAAAAATTAGTTTATGATATTGCATACTAATGACAAAACGGAAGTAATAAAATTCAGATTTTTATATTTCAGTGTAAATATTGTATTTTAATCATTTTTCTTAAAAGAAAATATTTTTCTTTGAAGTCTCTCTCTTATCAGGGCAGTTTTTTTCTTATACTGACTTGATAACTTTGGGAGTTTATAAAATAAGACACAAGCTAGTAGGCTTTAAACATAACATTTTATGTCACCACTATGGCAATTTGATAAGATTTAATCTCGGAGTACAGTATTGGGTCATGAAAGTACAGTACCGGCTTGCAGCAATTCCAGGGAGATTCTGTTTTGTCTGAACAATGTACATTTTATTGAATGTGAGCTCTTTTCACAGGGGGTCACAGTTTCCTCGCAGATGGGCCTCCGCTTTGTTGGGCTACTTTAATCCTTGCTTTTGTCTCCTTTGGGCAAGAGCCAATTGTAACACATTCTGTCTAGGGCCATCCACAGCTATCACAAGGCTGTGACGTTTCCTGCAGGCTTGACAATGCTGGCTAAGAAGGACACAGCACCTGTCTGCTCTGTGAACTCCATTGGCTCTGTGTTTACCTCCCAACAACTTTCAAAGGCCTGCTCCTAGTCTATGAAGCTGTGAACAGAATGTGACTTGGTTACTTCAGAAATGGCCTTGTCCTCCATGACCTTCCAAAGCCATGTGCCTGGATGCTAGGGACATAGTTGCCATATAAAAATTAGGGCTGTCAAGCGATTAAAAAAAGTAAATCTCAATTTAAAAAATTAATCCCATTGTTAAACAATAATAGAATACAATTTAAATATTTTTGATGTTTTCTACATTTTCAAATATATTTATTTCAATTACAACACAATAAGTGTACAATGCTCACTTTATACTTTTGATTACAAGAATTTGCACTGTAAAAAACAAAAGATATCACATTTTTCAATTCACCTGTTACAAGTACTGTAGTGCAATTTCTTTATTATGAAAGTTGAACTTACAAATGTAGAATTATGCACAAAAATACTGCATTAAAAATAAATGTAAAATTTTTGAGCCTGGAAGTCCACTCAGTCCTACTTCTTATTCAGCCAATCGCTAAGACAAATGTGTTTTGTTTACATTAGCAGGAGATAATGCTGCCCACTTCTTGTTTACAGTGTCAACTGAAAGTGAGAACAGGCGTTCGCATTGCACTGTTGTAGCCGGCGTCGCAAGATATTTACGTGCTAGATGCGCTAAAGGTTCATATGTCCCTTCATGCTTCATCCACCATTCCAGAGGACATGAGTCCATGCTGATGATGGATTCTGCTCAATAATAATCCAATGCATGTTCATAGTCATCATTTGAGTCAGATCCCACGTGCAGATGGTTGATTTTCTTTTCTG